TTCCGGTGAATGGGCGTTTTCTTCATGTTTACATTGCGTATATATGGTCACCAATACTTTTATGTAACCATGAATTTTTTATAAATAGTTCCGAATTCATATAAAGCGGAAATTGCATAAATTTCATATAATCACTTAAATAAAAGCAGGGTTTACTTTAAATAGTCTTCTTACATTGTTGATATGTTGTTAAATATTTACTGTCAGTGATACATTACTACTTTAACTTGGAAAGTTATGAAGAATTTATAGCAGTTTGCAATTTAAATCGATTATATTTCTGTTTATTTTAAAATTCATTTGAATACAAATTCAGATAAAATAGTATTCCTATCAACCACTAGACTCTATTTATTGAGTTATTCTCTCACATTTTATTCATTTCATGGAAATTTCGAATAACTGTAATATTTATACAGCCCACATAGAATTTTTGTCTAAATTTAAACACACGTTGAAATACCACATCCTTAATTTTTTTTTTGGGTCATAGAGACAAGAAGGAATGCTAATGAATCGTGATATTTATAAACATGGTCTCTTTCTTTTTTTAAAAATAAAAAATATAATATTTTATTAACAATTAAAAATTATTTCATCATTATTAATCATTGCAATTATTAATATTACTATTTAGTAATAATTTATTAATAACAAAATATTATTTAATAAATAAAAAGGTTGTTATTAACTAATAATTATCTTCAGATATTATTATAACAATTGTTTGCACCTGGTGTTGATAATAGTTTCCTCTATTTAGACACTAGTCTTTTGACTGGCTTCCCTTTTGAATTTTCCTTCAAGAAATTATTTACGGTGGATTATCTGCATGTTATATGATAGTGAAAACCTTGGAAAATTTCCATGCAATATTACTTGTTTGAGAAAGACAAGCAATAAAAATTTTTGAGAATTTTACAAGTAAAAAACTTTCTCAAACGTATACAGATTTTTATTTTTTTTCAGTTGATTTTATCTATTATTTTTAAATATCTAAACAAAATTTATTATGACGTACTGTTAAAATTACCAATGCAGAAGCACTGAAATTAATTTAGGAATAAAAATCAGTAGAGATGGAAATTTTTTATGGGAGTTTAGTTGATGCAGGAATGTTTAAGCTAATCTACAGTGTAGTACATAAAGCCCTAGTATGATTAATATACATGAGTTTAATGTTGAAACGACTTGTAATAAAGAGAAAGAGGAATTACAGTTTAAATAGCGAATTATATATAAATGAAATCATGTAGTGATGTATATTCTATTTAAATAAGGGTGAAACGTGATTAATGAGGATATAAATCAAGCGATTAGAGGTGATAGTGTGTGTATGTATATCGATAACTTAGATTCCTAACTAGTAGTCAGCTGCCTTGCCGACTTGTGGATTCTTTGTCGTTTGCTCAATGACCTGAGTAAATAAAGTGGAAACAACTGGTTTAGTTAAGCCAGAGGTCAGGACTCGGTCTAAGACTCAAAGTGTTGAGATATCTAATTTAAATTAATAGCTTGCTGATTTTGCTTTATTTCTATCCAACTTTTAGATATTTTAGAAAAATTAGTCTAACTATTTTGATGACATTTGAGCTGATTTATAATGACAGTTATGTTATTTGTGAATTAAATATTTGATAAATGATACAAAATTTAACTATTTATTATCATGAATACTTTAAATTTCAGAGTCAAATGAAATTTTTTTTTTTTGTTTCAAGTAGAAGTTTTATAACATGTAATTTAGAACGTGCTAATTATGTTTATGCTTTTTTTAGTAATGAAGTCAAATTTGATATGCTTCGAGAATTTTTGTTCATTAAAAAACAATAAAAATAATAACAATAAGAGTTTAAAAGAATTACTGAATTTTTTTAGATATTTTAAATGACTTTATTTTTTTTTCTAAGCAATGTTTATTTATTATAACTAGTTGATTAATATTATACTAATGAAAGTTAATGGTAATACTATTTTTATTTCTCATTTATCAAGTTTAATAATAATCTAGCCCACAGGGACAATAAGTATTTTGTTAATTTTTATAAAAATAATGATTTAATGAATTTTTGTGATTCCAAGTCGTTTTCAATCAAACTTATTGACATTATTCGATCTTCTTTATAATTAAAATATCTTTCAAAGCATTTAAATGTAATGTTAATTAACATCATCAATGATAGTAATAATAATACATTTTTAAACATGACCTTCTAGTATTTACAAATTAATGATTAATGAGAATTTTTTTTAATCCTTGAATATTATAATAATTAGAATGATTAATTAAATATTCATAAAACAAATTAAAGTAAAGTTATTTTGTTTTTTATTATTTGAGATTTCTTATTAATTTTATTGAAAAATATTTGTTGCAAATGTTTTTTCTTCACATCAAATTTTTTGGAAAAAAGTGGAAATTATTTCACAGCTCTAAGAACAAATTTAATGCATAGATAAGTATATTAGTCTTGTTAACTGTATACTCTCTACAGCCAGTACGTATAAAAAACAAATTGAGATAAAAATAAATCTTAGCAGCAAAAAAAAAAAAATTCTTTAAAATATTCTTTCCATTTTAATTAAGCATTGATTTAATAACCATATAAATTTTGTTTTCATTGATTATTTACACTCTAGATATCAAAAAAATTCTCTGAATGATAAAAATCTTTCATAAAATTACCAAGGATTCTTCGTTATAGAATTTTCTTTCAATTACCTGCAAAAAAATTGTCACTTTGAAATGAATCTTGTTATTTAGAAGCGACAGTATCATTATAATAAGCAGACTCTATGAAAAATGATTTTAAAATGTTCTCTCTAGTAAATAAAGAGTGACAGAATTAACAAGTTAATAAATTTAAAACGAGTTAAGTAATATGAGTTGTTTTTGTAATGGAGCAATACGTGTGTACTTGTAAGGGCATTCTGACAGGAAACGTAGTGAAAAGAAGCCGGAGGGCTTGTGAGAAAAAAATGACAAGAAGCTCCATATGCTCTTGGTACTGATGACTGACAGACGCATACACACGTATGTCTCTTTTCAGTCAACACGTACAACTTCCATTCAACTTTCACAGCGATTTTATTATGCCAACACTAAACTGAGATAAATCTTTAAATCATCTTCCTGTCTGTTGTTCCAATCAGCTTTGACATAACCACATCATGTCAGAGATTAGTTATCGATTTCTTTTATATTCTGAAATTAAAAATATTTTATTATATTTATTTTTTAATAATCACTAAATAAGGAATTTTTATTATCTTATCTCTATGTCTTTCACTAGAATTCTAGCATTCAAAAAAACTGTAATTCGAATTATTTATTTTTTTATTATCATTATTATTATTATTTAATTAACGGATTATTGATAATTACGTATTTGGTTTGATCTCTCGTTTGTGAAGTCTATTATATTCACTTTTGAAAGACTTTTTAATTACTTTCACTTTATTAAAAACATTATACCAAGGTAATTAGAAAAAACTATTCAGCAATTAATATATTGTTTGAAGTAATTGCTTTATACTCTGATTAATAAAGAAAAAGTAACACCAATTGACATCTTTATGTGAACGAATAATTTTTTAAAAAGGTAAAAATGTTTTCTATGAAAATAAAAATTATCTTTTTACAATGATTTATGGTTCACAACTATTTTGATTGGTAGTAAATTAAATATGTATTTTTTTTTTTTTATTTTTTTGTAGCAGATTTTGGCTTTGTATTGTGTTTCAAATGTAGTTAATTCCTCTGTTGACATTGAGATAGAATTTGAAGAAAAAATCGTCATAAATCTAACAATGATAATTGACTTTTGATATGAAGATTTACCTTTTGATTTCTTTTTCACTTTTTCCTCGAAATCACTAGTATTAGCCTACAAAAAAAAAAAAAATATATTCTTTATAATGAACTGCCCACACAGAGACCACTAGTTTGATGTTTGGAGTTTAAATTTAGTTTCCAACGAATTTTAAATTCTGATTACTTGGTGCTTCATCAGTTTCTATCATTCTGATGAATTTTTTTTTTTATTCAACAATATTGAATAACTTTTTACAATTACTAATACACATTATTATTCAACAAATTGTCATAAATTCAACATGAAAGCAAAGCTTTTAAATAGGTCATAATAGCAAAAGAAGTTTTAACAAATCAAATAATCATAACTGTACACATAAATAAATGTTATTTTATATTTTTAAAAACATTGTGTTCAAAAGTCTGCCTATCAAACTAAACACCCATTGAATTGAACGTACAATATTTTCACACCAAATAGTTTCCAAATATAAAACAGCAATTAATCAAATTTCAATTCATAGAGGTGTGTAATCAAGCTCATAAAAACAATCAATTTAGTTAGTAGGAAAATTTTTTAATAAACTGACTGTGTATCACGAATGGTCAAACAATCAACCTAAATATTTCCGTGTCAGTTTAATTGGTTATTTATAGTTTCCACGACATTAAGTGTCATTGGAAATCATGGATGGTTTGAAGTCATGTTTTTGCCAATTAATATAAAACGTGTATTTGTTCATGGAAGATTTGACAGATGACGATGAGTTTAGTAAGATAAAAGAAGTAGGTGTCATTTTTCAAGGTACATTATCGAGAGATATATATCGTGTTTCCGCCATTTTGGTGTTGCGATCATGTTGGGACGAATGGTGCGACGATCATCAGGCAAGAGAGGACAACCAAACGAGACTGAACCAAACTATATATGTATATGTATATATGTATATAAATACACATATAGAATGCGGGGATAAGAGGGAAGAGAAATAGAGTCACACTCATCGTTTGGTGCTTGCACCAGCTATCACAAAATGTACACATACATTCTCTAAGTATCTCTATTTCTCTTTGTTTACTGCTATCCGTCTCTCCTGTTCAACATAGCAGTTCATTTCGTTCACCTAGACGTTTTTTTTACTCCTTTTACTTCGTCTGCCATTACCGCTATTTTTTCCCTCACTTTTTTTACTCACCAGATCTCTCGATCTCTTTTACTGTGCTCTTCGAACTGCCAATAAAACCAGCTTTGTGACATAGGTCGGGAGGTCGATTGACTTATAAAACTATGTTTCCCTCATTCCACCTTTTTATCTATTTAATTATTCCCCTCTTTATTTACCCTCGTAAATTTCGTTTGTATATGCTTTTGACGTGTTTTGTAGATTGATCAGTATCTATGATTCTATATCATGGTGCCTGTTTATCTAATAAGTATCATTTTTATTAATAAACTAAAACATATGGATCACTAAGAAAGAGGGGGATATATAAGACTACTTACGAGTTAAGATTAAACTTCTCCCTTTCTCTATGTTGTTAAATTAAACAACGTGGGATGCGTTATTGATCCTCTTTTGAAAGATTTCGTTAGTTAATGTATTTTATTATTGTAGTTGGCCTCCTAAACAAACAAAAATTAATTTAATATTGTGATTTATTTTATTTTATTTTTAAATTTTAATTAATTCAAGATTTTCAATTGTTTATTTATTTTCGAACAGTTTTATTATCAAATCAATACATTGGAATTTAATTATCATAGTTAATTGGTGATGAATTTGATTAGACAATAAATTTAAGATTAAAAGTATAAACCTAGAGGCATTGGAGTCGAATTTGATAATAAACAAAAAAAAACCTTTGCACAATAAAAATGAAATATTGATGATAAAATTGAGTATTAAATCAGTGTTAGTTGTTAAAGATAATAAACAAGGTGTAATTTTAAGGAAAATTATTTTTGGAGCATTAATTTAATTAGTATTAATGAGTATTGATAATGATGGTATGATGAAACACATTAGTTTTCCTTAACGATCCCTCGAGAAAAGTATAAATAAAATCACAGCATAAAATATTGATCATAGAAATACTTACTCCAAAAAATGATACTCCAATAAATTGTATATATTTATTTCGTGGGCAAACAGTTCTTGGGGTTTATAAAAAAAACTTAGATACTCATATTCGATAAGATCCAAGTAATATGTTGGAATTTATATACGTCAACTCTGAAAAATCAATAAGAAACAATAGGTAATAAATAATAATAAAGTAAAAATGATTATTGTCGCGACATATCATAATTTAACGAGCATTAAATAAGCTAGTAGAGCTAGTAAAGTGTTATCTCATCACGTCAATAATACCCCTGATAATCTGATCGTGATGACATAAAAATTACTCCATTCCAACGTATACACTTTTGCCTATGAAAATATATTTCCCCCTCTGTGGTTGCCAGTCAAAAATAATTTGTCGATTCAACATGCATATGAATTCGGAGTAAATTCCTCACATTTCAGCATGCGGATACACTAGGAGTTTAATCTAGTACAGAGAGACATATCTTTGGTTACGGCAAAAGAGGAGGTGTATTGGTGGTGAGGTTATATTGGTCGTCGTTATATTGGTGTTAGTTCTGTCTGTCTCTTTGGTCGTCGTTCTCGTGTTTTCTTCCTCGTCTATTCTACAGATTTTCTACAGATACCCTGTCTCACTTGTCCACATAAGAGAGACTAGACTCGATCCACGTTTTCTGCACAAGGCGGCGTGACGATCGAGCGGCCATTTTGATAATCTCTCCCACCTTTTCGTCGCGCGCCACTTTCCCCTCTTGGTTTCACCCGTCTCACCACTTGGTCGGCGTATGTACCATGCTTTACCCCTCTACTCTACCTTCTCTCATCGTACCTTTGTCTCGCTCAGCGATGCAGCTTTTTCCTCATCGCAAATTGTTTCGATCTTTCTCACTCTAGTATCAGTTAGCTAGTGTGCGTAGCTCAGTCGCGACCGGAAAGTGCCAGTTTCTCTTGAGCTCTAATCGCTTCGTTGCGTCTCCATCAAATACTGGAGAGAAGAATACGTCGTAACAAATTTTTTTTTTTTATATTCTTAACAATATTCATAACAATCTGAAGTTAACGTGACACTGTGTCGTCATATTCCGAGTGTCCGCGTGATGACAATAATCTAAGAAGTAAATATAACGTATACAGTAGTGTGATAGCTGCATTGGTAGTCATCTTAAAGAAGGAATGTCTTATTATTAAAGGGAATTATAAACATGATTATCATTAAATCAACTATTAAATAATAGTAGTATTTAATAAACATTTAACCGGTGTTTATTGGGCTAACCACATTGAGTGTTTTGAAGCTTTGTAAAATCCAGTGGGAAAATTTGTTGACGTGCGCGCATGATTCGTCTCGACGATCAATCAGTGTGTGTGTGTGTATATTAGTGTATGCAATTTAAATACGTGTATATTAACGTGTTTTCTTTGTGTCTCTTTGAACTAAATAACAGATTTACGACGCAGAGGTGACCTTTTGAGCGCGCAATTAAAAAATAGAGGTTAGGAAACACTGACAGAAAGAAAACAATCCGTTTCTACGTATTATTTATTTAGTGCTCATTGACTCCAAGTGACTTATTGGAAAATATATAACAACTAATCCTGTACGTTTATGACATCTGTGGAAAAGCCTTAATAAGGAAGATGTGATGATATTGTATGTATTGTAGTTAATTTAAAAGCGACGTGGTTGCGTTGAGGCGCGCGTTTCCGGATTAGCCGCTTCCTCGGGGCCACGTCGTTGACGTGAGCGACTAGTGCGCACATTTAATTAAGTGTTGCGTGCACGCGTGTGTATTCTGTGTGCTTCCTGAGGAGCATTAAATGCCCCAAGGGTGGGGTGCTCAAGTTGATATGATTGTGATGCATATTTGAAATATTTAAGTATGAGACCACGTTCAAATTTTATTGAACGTTATTCTGTTTTTTCCTTTTTCTATTTATCTTTTATTCTACTCTCGAATGCTGTACCAAGAACGATTGTAATACTTAGTTGCCATACTTGTACTCCTATAACTCATACGTCAAGATTATATTTGGATACACCAGAACGGCGTCCAACTCTGTCGCGCTCTTGAATTCCTGGTGAGTCAGTTGATTTGTGTCTACAAAAGATTCATAATATTCTCTCTGCACTACAAAAATCATACTAAATCGTATATAATACTAAATTTAACATTTTTCCTTTTTTTTTTTTTTTAGGTTCGTAAATTCTTCATGAAGTTTCATATACTTCACTTTATTCGAATAAATACATAATTAGCATTAATATATTGAGAACAATCACGTTAAATGCTTTGAGTTGAAATATTTATCACCAACTGATAAAATCTCAGTAATTATAGTTTCAAGTTATTTTTAGCCATTTTGTTATAATTAATGGGTTGTTATAGACTAATGATAATTTAAAAAAAAGCTCAAATCTCTTTGTTATAAGTTCACTGAAATGTCGTTTCTTTTTTGGCACAAAATAAGTGTTTTGTTACAAATTATTACGAATTGGAGTAAAAAAAAAAAAAAATTAAAACAACTTTTGTTTATGTTGCTTTTATCTGATGACTTTTTTAGACAAAGAAAAAGCAAACACGTTGGAAAAACTTTTTATTTATTTATTAATATTCACTGTTTTATATATAAGTTTGTTTACTCTTGTAAGTAATCGCGATATTCTCTTTGTTACTTATTATGACTGAAAAAATATAAAATTAGAACTTTTAGTTTTCATGATTTGAAAATTATGCCAAATTTTATGATTGCTTCATTTTTTTTTTTTATAAATAAATTAATTCATATTTATTTATATTCAATGTTCTATAAGTTGGTGAGCCAAAGATATTTGAAGTACTTCATTAACTACTTTTATAAAACTTTTAATTACTACTGTTAGTTTTTTAAAATAAATGTTATCTAATGAATTCATTAAACTGCCATAGAGTGTAATTATGAACAATAACAAGTATTAAAAATTGAGGAAAAAAAAAAGAATATTTTAATAAAGTAAATGGCAGGTTACAGAGTGAAAATGGAAAATTGATGACTCATAAAATGCAAACTTTGGCATCTGTTACTTCTCTATTATACTTCAATTTCATGTGAAATTTCCTATGAAACTTTGACCTTTTATCGCTTAAAATAACATTTTAATTATGTAGTTTCTTGGTGGATACAATTACTTATTAAAACAACAGAGAAGGGTTTTAAAAATTTCATTACAATATAAATTTATTTATCATTAAATATATAAACAATATTTTATGGAAGTACATACAAAAGAGATGAGACTTCATTATTTTAATAGATTTTTATTATTTTACTAGATTAATAATCTATGAAAACACATGACTCGTAGAGTATTTATTTAATTAAAGAAAACAGATGATTTTAACCTTAATTGATTTAGTCCATAAAACTAATTAAGGTTGAACCGGAAAAATTTTTTTCAATCAATATATTTCTTTTAATGAGTGATAATAATTAAAACTAATCCATCTATTTAGAGTAAAATAATTTTTTATCTCCATGGTGATATTTTTTTTTATCAAACTGTCATAATATTTCTTACAACTTTTCTTTTTTGTTAAAGGAAAAGTTTTGAGGTTAGAATGAATGTGATTTAGTTGATGTTAACAGTAAATTCATTATAAATTAAACAAGAATTAAATTCATAGTCTATTTGAGTTGGTACGTTGTAAGAAACAATGTAGGGGATGTTTAACGATCGTAACTATATTACTTTGTGTATATATATACGTATGATTTGAAATTATTACCTTCTCGCGTGAAATGTATATCATTCAGTACGAGCCAGGTGTCACGAAGAAACAGTATTTTTGAATGACAATAAGAGCACTATAACGATTATTCGAATTTCCCTCGAGCTTGCATTCATTCTAACTCACTTTACTAACTACTCAGTGAGATAAATATTTCACGAGAATTTTCACTCAATCATTTCTTTACATTACTGTCTGAAATATTTATTTCAACAAGTCGTTTGAAATAATGCAATTTTATTCCTCACAAAACTATTTTTATAAAGAAATTAATATAACAGTTAATAAAACAGTCATTTGCTTAATTATTAATTAATCATTAATCATGTTAATTATTTTTACACAAGTTTTAAAGTGAGTGTCGTAATAAAATATATTAAATATATTTTATTGCAAATATTTTAAATTATTTTCATTAATATTTCATAGTAAAACATAAAAAATTTTCATTTTTCTATTATTATATAAAAAAAAATTTATTTCTTCAACTTTTTATATTCATTAACGTCAATTAGTTATTTAAAAAAGGTCATATTAGATAAATTAACATATTAAATAAATATTTTGAAATGTTATCTAGATTATTTTTTTTTTTGTATTGAGCATGATAAAAAAAAATGGGTAACAGATATTTCCTGCTGACGTAAATAAGTAATTGCAAGTTTAAACTTTTGAAAAGAAGAGAGAAAAAAGTGTGGAAAAATAACTCTAAAGCGTGTTTCAATGTTATGAAGTCGTCAGTTGTAAATTTAAGTGAAATCTGAAATTTGAAAGAAAAATTATCCGAATTATCCCGTGTTAATCCATGTCGAGACGATGAAGAGACATGTTTTTTACAGTCTGTAAAACTTTTAAGTTGATATCTTTAGTACTTTTTAAGAAATCAACTGAGTCAGCTTAAAAAGTAGTCTCGTTTGGGTGTAAAACGACTCTTCAGTTTGAAAGTAGATAACGATACTATGGATAATATTATGTCACGAATGATGTTTACTTTTGAAAAACTTGTTACAACAATCAATATCTAATTAAATTATACATTCTTATTAAAATATCATTTATTACAACATAAAAAATTCTAAAATCATTAAATACTTATAGATAATTTCTTTCTATTCCAATGAATATAATTATTAAAATAAATAATTTATTATAATCATTCCAATCGATTTGACGATGTATAAAATAGATTATTAAATATAGCTCTTTAAAAAGGATCTGATTATAAAAATACCTTTTTTACTCTAAAAATAATTCGAAGATGAAATTATCCTTACAATGATTATACATCTCATCGCTATAAATAATTTTACTTTTCAATTCTTGCAACGATGGTCGTCATAATTATCATTAGAACATTGAATAAATGTGTTCATTAAAACATATGGAGATAGGCTGACTGATAAAATCTTCCACCATTTATTAATACAGTCAATTTCACAGAAGTTGTAATGATAGATATGAATACTCTAGAGAACTTATTTTATTCTTTAAATATATAGAAATTATCTACAAAAAATTTTTTTAACATGAAATGTTAGTTCAGTGGACTCTAGAAAAAACAAATAACTCATGACATTAAATTTTATCTATGTCAAACATTTATTCCTCTAATTTCTGCTGTTCTATTATAGATAATAATCTAAACTAGAAGCGTTAAATACAGATAATGATTCAATCTGTAATATACACTTTATAATTTAGTTTCATCATCAATTAAAACTTTACTCTAATCTTTACCACAATTAAGATCACATTTTAAGATTTATTTGACTTGTGAAAAAAGTTTTAAGATTATTTTTCACCAAATTAAGTTAAACTGATGTTTCTGTCGATATTTTTCTGAGAACTTAAAATGTTAAAGCTGTTGTCTTTATACGTCATCATGAGTAGTAGCTGATGGTTGCTGACCTCGTGCGACTCAATAAGCTATACTTGAAGTAATCACACAATAACACAATCGTTTATTCACTCTTCCTCTCACTTTCTATCATTAAACACGACACAAATTTCTTCTTGTATCTCAATAGAAGTTTTAATAGATTAATTGATTAATGATAAATATAAATTCTATTTATAATCATATGGATTAATAATAGAATCATGTTTTTTTTTTTTTTTCGTGAAAAATGTGATATGAATATTTTATTTGATGGATAAAAATATTTTTATCCACCTCTTGAGAATTTAAAGTGAATGTTTTGATTGAATTAAAACTTCTTCGGAATTACTTCAATTAGTAGAGAGAGAGAGAGAGTTATTATTCATTTTTATTTTTGAGAATTTCGTTTTTATTGTTGTTAATATTCAAATAATTTTTCAGACTTTATTTACTCAAGAGATTTTGAAGTAAAGAATAAATAATTGTTAGGCAAGTTTTCATACTACTGATTAGATTATGCAATGCTTGATCATTTTTTTTTTTTTCCTAAAACTTGGAATGGAATCTTTATTCATGACCTCATTTTCACGTTTTCTAAAAGAAGAGAGAAAGTTTTTTTGCTGATAAATCTCATATTATATATTAGAAATCGTATCTAAATTTTAATTTTCTACTACTTACAATTTATTTATAATAATATTTACAACAATATCCAGTCGATAAAACAGTTTATCTACTTAAATAAATTTAACCATGGAGAAAAAAAATTATTTCTTTCACGATAAATATTTTTTTTTTTTTGTAATCAAATGGCTTAAACGTCAACAAACAACATCATTCACTCATGACAAACCATTGAAAACTTGAACAAACAGTTCTATATAAAAATATAAAATTTTCTATCATCAGTTTTACCTTTAAAGTTCTAATCTCGACATTCCTTTATCTGATGAAGTTGACTTGAAATTCCGACAGTGACATATAATTTAAAATTGTAATTCTGATATAACTTGCACACTTGAAAGGGTTATAGTTGGATAATGTCGGAGTATTATGTTGGACACATGTGAATTGCGTGAAAGAAACTCGGTCGCGCGAGACTCGGAGCGTTTAACTGCGCGAGTTGGATTGGAGCACGTGCCCAGAATCACGTATACATACACTAAGGGATGTGCTTGGTGAGTGAAGAATGAGTAAGAGAGAGAAGGAGACAAGTGCGATCATGAGTGTGACGACATACTTCTTGTGTGCGCGGCACGATAAGCCGATCGCTAGTAGCCGTGAGTGTGATATCGATTGAAAGTTAATCGACAAAATATTCAGACTTGTTTCCCGAGGATTTTAATCAATCAAATATCCTTTTTTAACCGTTAATCAAAATATCAATCACAACCATCATCAACAAAGAACTAACAATTATTAAAGAAATTCATCTATTTCTAACCTAAAAAGGTATTTTAACTACTCATTAATATTGTGCCAATATAAAAAATCATAAATCTTAAAGAATGAAGAGTTTTATATATTTATCTGGTCATATTTAACATTTATATTGGTTTGAAATAATAAAATATTCGTTACTGGTAGTTTATTTTTGAGGAAAGAAATAAATTGTTTCAACAGCTCATTTAGTCTGTTTGAACATAAATAATGTGATGGGCATGTTAATAATAGCATACAATCATAGGCTTTCTTGTGATTGAAAAATGTACAAAAATTTACTACTGGTCCACAATGTACATTTCGGAGCACCCTCTATGGCTAGTTTATGAACACACGCTCCGCAGCGCCACCTAGTTATAGATCGATTGCATCAAACTTCAGTCGATTCTTCCGAAGAGGGTTATATTGTTGTTTATTTGCGATTGTGGATTTATATTGTGAAAATAATCAAATAATAGTAGTTATAAAAGACTTGAAAATGATTTCTATATTATTTGGAGTTTGAATTTTAATCTAACCTAAATATTGTGTCACTTTTCGACATCAAAAATATTCAATAGACACGTAGATTGTATTCGGGGATCAATAACCTTTAATGGTCGACAAGATTCATCAACTTGGAACAAATATTGTTTCAAGTGTATAAATTATATTGCATATTTGATATAAAGTGCATATTTTTACCTGTTAAAAAGTTCTATTAATGTCTATATTTAATAATCAATATGATTAGTCAATATGACGAAATAAAAATAAACATGACAATTGATAACTAGACGTAATGGAAGTATTTCAACATGTAATCCTTAAGTAAGTAACATGATAGTGAATGAAATATTACAAAAAATGATATTATTTAATGTCCTCAAGATCACGGTCAAGTTAAACTAATTACACACGTGTTTGTTAATTTTTCCAAGTTGAAGATCAACTGTGTAATAAAATAAATTTTATGTTGAAGATATATTTGCTTGATGTTGTAAGAATACTGTTTACCTTATATTATTAGCTGTGTATTAATTTAAATTCAAGTTTAGGTTAGGTTGAATGTAATACATGTATGTAAACACTAAAGTTATTTTCAATGTATGTAAATTACTGTAGGACTATTTTTAGTCATTATTATGAACTTAACTATATGATCATTATTAGTATGACATCGTCAAAATTGTGATATGCATGAAGGATCGTGTAATTGTGTCAGTGTGTCATTGTCGAGGCTAAACTGCAATCGCGATCACTTGGTCATGTTGGTGACGCTGATGATAGGAAAGAAAAATTATAAATAAAATCACTAGGAATTTTACAATTAAATGATGACATGTTTATTCATTTTATTTGTTGAAAATTGATGAATAGATAAAAATGAAAAAAAAAAAAAAAAATAATGGGGAACATTGAGGATATAAAAAACAAAGATCCATAAAATAGAAAAAAAAAAATACCTAGTGATTTAAGTGTTATTGGTTGCTGTGTGATATATTTTAGGAAAATGGTGGATGATAGCACAGTAGATATATGAAACAAGACGACAAATCGATGTTAAGAATTATAGTATGGAGCAAAATCAAGCGAAAACGACAGTGAATGATAGGAAGCCGATGGAATTATCGAGAATATGTAGACCATCGTTTCATTACTACCAACTCTATTGGTCTTGAAATAAACGCTTATTTGATGCTTCCTATTTTTTTTTCACTTTTAGAAAATTCTTTATTTTATTTGGTTTTTCTTATCATTTTATATTCAACAAAAAATCAAACCATATTTTGTTTATTATGTTTTCTCTTATGCATGGTTAATCAGATAATTAAATTCCACAATGTCTTTATTCGTTACAAATTGAATATACTCTCTCTATAATATTAAAATGTTATTTTTGAGGAATTATCACGATGGAATAGTATCGTTAGCTACTCAAATTAATCAGATATTACAATTTATCAAATTATAAAAGAAATATGGTAGCATATTTTAATTATATCTATTTTGTAAAATTAAATCTTTGTTTATTACATAATGTTTTATCATTAATTTTTATTTTAATTGTCAATTATTTCTAATATGTTATGAGATAATTATGTCTGAAATTGTGTAAAAGAGAAATAATTTATTAATTAACTCTTTGTAAATATTATGATCAATAGCAACATATTGGTGTAGCTAATTAAATTCTATCATTCTTATGAATAATTAAATACGAAAAATGTTTAAATTTTAATTTATTTTACATTTAAATGTGATTATATTCATACAAATGAATATTTTTTTTTTTTTTGTTAAAAAAGGAATTAAAAAAATAACTTATTTTTATTATTAGATTCTAAAATTTTAATACATAAAAATTTTTAATTATTTTTTCAAAGAATTCTAAGGGAAATACGAATATCGTGCAATCTGGTTTAAATATATTATAGAAATTAATTTTATCGAATGTCACAAAGGTAATGAAAAACGATAAATGTAGATATGGCCATATTACCATATTCTTTGATAATTATTTAACCAGTCCAACTTGTATGGTTGTATGTTCGTTATTTCATGATATCGACACTTGTTTAAACTTTTTATTGAGCATGATATGTGAAGAATGAAGTTGAATAAACAGTTTGATTGACCTTTTTGTCTTTTTTTTTTTTGTTCTAGCGTCGACCGGGACCGACTTCGAGAGCGTGAGCGGCAAGCACGCGCAGCGATGTCGGTCCAGGCGGAGCAGGCAACGGGCACCGGAGGTCCTGAGACCTGTCACAGCCACCACAATCATCACCATCATCACACTAATGCCCATATGTCTGCTGCCGCTCAGCTCTTTCGTCCTCCTCTCAAGGTATGTAAATATTATCATTAAGTACTTAAATCGCGCAATCATCTGCCGATAACAAAAAAAAGTTTTCATTTTGCTCCAATTATCATATTATCACATTTATAAATATTCAATCAACGTCATTTTTATAACGTCAAGAACTATTTAAAAAAAAAAAAAATAGGTGTCTAAATAATTCTATAATCATTTTTTTTTGTATTACTCAAAAGTTTTACGTCAATAGGAATTCGCATAATAACTGGTCATGTGGTGTTCATTATTTTAAATGATGGCATTTTTTAGTCTGATTATGTAGAATAGAAGATGATGAATTTTGATTAGAGAATTGTAAGGAAAATTATGCCACGACATTTTATCAAAAAGACAAGAAAAAATGTCATCTTCATTTTCTTTACTCTGATTGTGCTATTTTATGATGAGAAAATTATTTTCTATGCCATTTTTACTTAAGGTTTAATGATTTTTATTTTATTATTCATTTATTTGAATAAATGTCAGGATCTAACAATGATTGTCATTTAGATTGAAGATGTAGTTTATTGTTTAGGAAGCTAAACAAATAAAATACAAAGAATAATATACAAAACAAAGTAACGAACAAAGCAAAGGAAATTTGAATAGTATGACAGCCAAGAGACATGGAGAAAATCATTGAAAGGATCCCTAAAATAATTGTATGAAGTAGTGTAGTAATTATGACAAAATGAGATTGAGTTATCAAAACTAATATTCAATCAAAATAATATACAAAAGAATTATTATTATTGATAATAAAAATTTTTAATCAATACAAAAATATTTTTTACTGCTAAAAAAAATTTTTCTATATTTACTAGTAATTAATAGTGTTTTAAAATAATAGTGGATAAAAAAAATTCCCCAAAAAATATTTTAAACTGCAATCATAAATTATCCAAAATAAATTTTATTATTCATTTATTAATTATTTTGTCCATGTAACTAGTGACATTAGGTAGCAATAAATTACCATTACGTCAGGGATCTGAATCATTTTAAAAATCCTAAAAGATGATTATAAAATAATTTATAAGCAATAAAACTTTGCTGTGCATAATTTAATAATCTAAAGAATTTTTCAATTTTGCAAAATACAATAAATATCATAAAATCAAACAAATTCTTTCAATTGCTCTTCAAATCCTAGGGATTTGTGAAATGCACACTAACAATTTTCATTTGCTTCAATAAAAAAAAAATAAATAGCTTTTCATAATACTTTCATATAAAAGTAATCAAATAAAAACGTTGCATGATTAAGTAAATGCACTTTCATTGTTCTTCTCTATTTGATTGAAACCCTTTTTTTTGCAAATTAAAAAATATTATTTGATATATATCACAACCAATTAGCAATTAATATTTACCTGATATTGAAACAAATCAAATATTTATTCAGAGCTTTTCCAATGTTCAAATGTAACATTGAATAAAAATCCATGTTACTCTAGAAGTAAATAAAAAGTAAAAATTAGTTAAAAGGTGTTATCAAAGTCACGTGCATTAAAGTTCCATAAAATTCTTAGTTAAATATATATTTCCGATTGTAATTTCAATGAATTCAAACGAATGAATTAATTGATCTTAATACATTCATGCTTATATTCACTCAACAGGTGTTGGGATCAAAAAATTCATGAGCTCTTCATTAGCTATTCTTTTAGTTTAACTTTTTATCCATTGAAAAAAAAAAAATCATTTTTACTATTCGTTCTTTTGTCATTTAGTCAACAATATTTTCAAATATTGAATTGACTTCTAATCAAATCTAAAGTGTATCTCGTGGTCGTGTTTAAACAGACATCGATTCTCATGATAAAAATTAATTACAATTTATTGTTATAATAATTGATATTAATTAATTTTCAAACACAACGTTTCGATGATAATAATTATTATCAACATCAAGTGTGAAAAGAAGTTTTATGAAAAATAAAATTCTTTAATGTTAATAGTTTTTGGGCCATTAAAAATAAATAAAAATGGATGAATTTCTATGAAACATAATAAATTTAAAATATTATCGAACCAATCTTGAGGAAATTCAATGAATGAATTAATTATGATGACTTTAATTTTAATTTGTTATTTTATTTAACAAAACAATACTTGTTTCTTTTAATTGTGAGGAAAATTTTTTTCCTTCTTTATATAAAGAGGTTTGTAGTGTTTATTTAATTGAATTAAAGGTAGAATGGCAATAAAATTTGTATAATGTAATAGAGTAATAGTGAAGAATAATCAAACGCGAATAATTTATCTGCCAAGACAAATTCAAGGTCGTCGTAGAATATTTTTATTCTCGACATACTCCATTTCCGCTTGAGGGACCTTGAATAGTATCTACAGATTTTCTCGATCATTATGTCAATCATATCCTCGCAGACACGAAAAAAATCTGGTTTCATTTGTATGAGAAACAACTTTTTCTATTCTTTCAAATATATTTTCGATGGTAAATACATATATTATTGAAGATGTTTATGAATTAAATAATACTCAGTATTTAGTAATTGATTCTATTGAATAATCACCAGGTATTGCAACAAAATTTTGCAAGTAATACTATTTTAAATCTAGTTTTAAGATTATTAAAAAAGTTTATTGAGTCTATATGAACAGTAATTTTTGATTCATTGAAAGCGTGAAGATTTAATTTAAAAAAATAAAATATGAAACTGGTGAGCTGTTAAAGTTGTTTATGGATCAATAAAAAATGCTAAATGATTTATTTTTTTTTGAGGTATGAAAATTTTTTGCCATTAAAATAAAAGAAAAGAAAATGATTGCAATAAAAGTTTTAGAAAAGTTTAAATTAAAAATAATTTTTTAAGAAAATTATCTTTATTATTATTTAAAAAATTTTTAATTCTTTTTACTGAATAACATGTCATACAAACTAACTCAGTATATTAAAACCATTAACATTTAATTAAATTCTCTTATTTTTAAATGAAAATATTCTCTTTCATATATACATTACTTAATTAAAATATTTCACATAATTAAAGTTTAAAAGTAAATTAACATTCAATCAACAATGAATTTATGATATTAACATATTGGAATTTTTTCATTTCCACATCAATTATAAATTCCTCATTTTTTATTTTTTATTTCTATTAAAATACTAGTCCCTATATGGAATAAAATAAATTATGCATGAATAAAAAAAAAAAAAAATGAGATAAAGATAGAGCAATTTGAATCAAACAAGTTGACATCTTTTTACAAGGTTTAAACACCGATGTAATCAATAAAAGTACACTTGACAATCTCTATACTCTGATATATTGAGGGATATAGAAAGATTGTAGCATCTTTTTGTGTTCTATTATTCATTTTATTCTCTGTCCTATGACGTCGATATTCTGTTGCTGAGATCATTCGTTTCTTTTTTATTATGTGTCGTTGCATAATTCAAATTTCCCCTTTTTTCCCACTCTAGTAACATCCCACCATCGTTGGCAATACGTCATGCGATGAATTTTAAGAAGTAGTGTCAAAAAGTTTTTACATTGTTTTTTTTTCTATGTAAACTACATACTTATATATTTATATTTTATTTTGATTTAATTTTATTCATATCAATATTTTATTCCTTTAAAGTATTTCGATTAAGATGATTTTTTACTGCATTAAAATTAAATATTATTATTATTATTATTATTATAATTAAGACTAGGTTTTTAAACATTCATTCAAAAACGGTTCTTTAAATCTTCGAAGCAATAAAAGACAAATTAATTAATATTTAAAAATTAAGTGTGTATATTTAAGAAAAAATATTAATTTCATTTCAAATGGCCCTGGGTCTTTTAGTCCAGTCAAATTTTATTCACAATATTTGGAAGTATTATATTTGCCTAAATATTTTTATTATCATATCAAAAGCAAAAAAATAATATTTATTTTTTCACCTGTCGTGACTTAGTAGGAGTGAAAGAGTCAAACAAAAGTATATGTAAGAAGTAAATATCTATATGGAGTATAAAAAGAAAGGAAGAAAATATAAGAAGTGAAGGAAAAGGATGTGAGAAGGATGAATAGCATTCACAGTTGACGTTACTCCAAGTCTACTCACCAAACTACACGATAAGCAAGCTTGGAGAAGTTTTTTATTTCCATCTCTCTTTCTCTTTATCACAATCTCATTTTATTTACCTTCTCACTCTTTCTTGCAATATGCTTGAAAGAGGGTTGAAATCAATACCTTGGTGTGTGGAAGGATAAACGTGATAATACGTTGACTTAACAAGAATTGCAAAACTTGAAAGAAAGACAGAGAAACCTCTAGAAAATTCTCTTTTTTTATGCTTTACTTTTTATTTTTCTGTCTACTCCTTTTGTGTCTATTCGCTTTCGTGTCGTTATTTAAATATTTCTCTTTTCGTTTTAAATGATCAATAATTACTTGAATAATATTACTGCATTAATTTAATTACTTTAAACCACAAAAATATTATCATATTTTATTTTTGTTTACTTTTACGGTCAAAACATTAAACTGGCTATGAAAATTTAGTGTAGTAGTTAGTTGTATATATTGAGAGAGGATTTAAAATATACTTTGATGATCCCTTTAATACGTGTGGCTTCGATGTATATACACTTATAAATATTTTCTATCTCTTTCTTTCTCTCTATCTCAATACGTGGAATCGTGCCAATGGACTGGATTAATTAATCCCTCCAGCACATCTGGGTTCTTTCGCAGTGTACAACGCGCACGCGACTTATTTGATACCTTCTATTTAACGTCACATAATAAACACAACTGTTGCCAGATAAATATCAAATTTGATCCAGCTGATTATTTGTTCTAGTGGAAATTTATCTCTTATTGTGGAGAATAAAAATGAGATTGATAAGAAAATCAGATAATTATCAAGGAATTATCGTTTACGCAATGATGATCAATAATTTATTGTACACAGTGTTTTTATTTATTTTGATCACAATATTAATTTTAAAATGGATATTTATTTATTTATTTACAAGTTTTAGTGTGCTTTTTGTTTATTCAATATTCAAAGTTAAATGAGATATATATCTTAGGATAATTAGTTTCTAAATTGAATAATTATTGATGGAGAAGAATTTAAAATAGATATAATTGGTGGACTTGGAGAACTTAAGTAATTGTTTTTTTTTAATGTGTTCTTTATTTAAATTGGATTGAAAAAATTTTCTTATTTTCATCGTTTTTAATATCTTATCTAGTCTTATATACAACAGACTTTTTGTAAAGTAATTAAAAAATATGTTGATATTTTTTTAAGTTATCAAACATTTTGTGATTTAGCTAATTGGATTTTGATTGATATTCAATGTTATTTTAGTTCAATTGTGTCAATATTAATTTGAGTGTAATTGCTTTTATCAATTTCAAGAAATGAAACAGCTTTTGATGAATATATCTTTGTTTTAGATGTTTGGCAAGTCTTGCATCTTGTGGTTATGCCAAAAATAAGATAATCTGGACATAATTTGAAAGCAAACACTTGAAAAACTTTATAAAGATTCTTTTGTTATCCTTTCAGTTGAATTTTTTTTTGTTATTACTCATCAAAATCCAATTAAAAGCTCATTTATTATAAATATTATTGTTCAATTAACTTGTCTTATTAAATTTTCTTTAAAATGTCTGGTTTCATTAGCTTAAAGATATGATGGTTTTGATAATAAGGTTTATTATCAATTCAAAGTATTAAACAATAAACTCTAAGGTTAATTTTCAAACTATGAAATCAGTTGAGTGTAAATCATTTGATGTCATATCATCTTTTGATGTCAATTCAGTTAATCTTGTGTCAAGTTAAACTACCATTGACTAGTTATTTACCTATACAAGCATCTAGAAAAGTATAAGATAATGCTGAAAAGTTGGTACACATTCATACAATCGAATTGGAAGGTGAGGTTAGGCGAGGTCGTGACGAACGTGAAAACCCTGACCTGGTCATTCATCCCTCCTTCTTGGCCACTCTATCGTTGTCCTCCTCATTATGTAGTCTGCAATACATACACTGATTCTTACTATTGCTACATCTAAATTGTCCAAGGTCTCATCAGAAAGATAACTTGTCATTAAATTTTTCATTTGTAACATAGTACTATGCATTATCTTTATTATTTTCCACCAATTTTCTCGATTTCATCATAGGGGTTATTCCACATGCTGCAACTCATATTACATTTGATGAAATTTTTTCTGTATCATAGTTTATTTATCAAACACAAGCATGTTTTACAAATTATCTTTCTACATGAATTGATAAATTAACTTCACTGTTGTATTTTACAGTAGAAGTAGTAGAAAAGTCTATCCTAAAAATAAAAAATCCATGTTTACTTGAAAATACAATTCTTGGGTACCTTCGTTGGTTAGTACTAGAGAAAATGAGCTTTATAATAAGCAAAACCTTATTTAAAATAACTACTTGACAATATTATTGTTGCCACAAACCATAAAAATGAAACAAAAATTACAATAACTAGTGTAGTGAAAATGACTATTGTTGCATTTGACATTTTAAAGTAAAAATAAGCACAACAATACATATTTATATTTGCCCAACACATTGATATAGCATCCAGAAAAATTTGACTCATGTGGAAAAGTTGAACTTTGCTTTCGGTATTCATTAAGTATTAAAACGAATCAATCTGTATTTGTATTTGAATTTATTTTATATTACTACACTTTTAATGGCTAGATCTTGAAAAGAAAAATCAAGTATAGATTTTGATTCAACGATTGACAATTAGTAAGCATCATATAAAATAGCACAAACTGAAGTAAAAATTAATTTCTTGTTGGCGTATCTAATTGGATAAAATAATTAAATCAAAAAGAAATCCAGTATTATCTGAAAAAAATGGGAAATAAAGGTTTTATTTTGTTGTTATGATGAAAGCTTTAATTATCAAGTAGAATTGACCTATTTTAAAAATAATTAAATTAAACAATGAATTTTTTTTGTTTTATTAGGTGAATCCTAATAGCCAAGACCAAGATACGCAACAAATCCAATCAAAGCTTGGCAACTATTCGCTCGTGAAACATCTGTTGGAAGAGCCAAAGAGGTTGATAGGAATAGAGGGAGTGCCTGCTAGTCCAGCTCCATCGTCATCGTCGTCAAGCTCTTCAACGCGATCATCTTCAAGTACGAGCAGCAGTAGGAGTTCACCTTCTTCACAAGAGTTCAAAAAACCCGGATGTAATGGTCCAAGATCATCATCGTCATCAAGCCATACATCTCAAAGAGGCGGGTTTGTAAAACCTGCCGATGGAAAACCACCTTATAATGGTCGTGGTGGATATCCAGGTCAACCAGTCAAACATGGTGGCAGCAGCAATGATCACAGAAGCCACGGAATCCTTCCCGCAAAAGGTCCACCTTCGTCAGCTACTGTAAACACGAATTCTACCGGAAACAACGGCGGTCTAACTTCTTCCGGAAACTGTCCTCCTGCCCCAGGCAATACAGCTAATTTGAGTAGAGCTCATGCAGCTGCTTCCAGACTCTCAAGGCTACCTCTTGACAATGTTAGTACAGTTTATCCTTTTCTATATTATTACATCTAATTATCTCATCGTCAGTAATAATTTTATTATTTCTCATCATTCTGACATTCTAGGGAGTGAAGCATGGAGCTAATGAGAGTACTGCTGACTTGGAAAACATTCTTAAGGTATAAGAAACTTATATTTATCATTTAAAAAATAATTATCAATGTATTTTAAAAAATAGACAACATTATGCTATTTCAAATTATTTTATTGAGAAAATTGAAGAACAGTTTTTTTAGAATTTTTTTAATATATACAAATTATTGAACAGTAACTTTTAAAATAAAAATATAAATATTAATAAATAAGTTTCACTTGGAATATAGTCATTTTTAAAAAAATATAATTTAATTTTAAATCGTGAAATTTTTTTTATTAACTTTCTATCTTCTCGGGTTAATTGATTATTTATTGAACTTTTTCATTTTATTGAAAGGGTAGAAACTAACTAATTTAATTTCAATTTCACATAACTGTAAAAGTCTAATTTAAAAATACATTGATGATAAATTTTTCTTACTCTGAAATGACTCAACGTTCGTAAAGTTAATTTGAAGTTTAGTAGAACTAATAATATAGAATAGAAAAGTGACCAAATAAATTGCGAAAGTAAACTATTTATTTTACTCGTAGAAGAATAAATATTTAAAAAAAAAAAAAAATAATAAAACGATTGTAGATAGTTTTTCCTAAAAATTGGATTAGTTTTAAATAAAATTTATATCTCTAATACCGTGAAAAAGCATAAAAAGTAAAACGTTTAAATGACTATGAAAAGATAGCATAAAAGAAGAGAACAAAATCAAAGATCTCTGAGTTGAATTATAAAGTAAAATTGACCAATTTACATCAAAAGATTACAAAACATTTATAAATTTTTTCCACTCCAATAAATCATAAAACCTCAGTTCTAAGATTAAATGTTTTAAAAAGAAGGAAACTTAAGATATAAAATGATAGCAAACGAGAAATAATATATCCAAATAATCGGCTAAACTATCATCAATAAATAGAGCCTGGAGCTCATGTCATCTCCATATGAAGTCGTCAAATCTGAAAAAGATGGTATCTTAGAACAATGCTGAAAGTACAATAGAAGGCGTATGGGTTTATCGATCGTATAAAAAGACCACTTGTCAACGATGAGTCACGCCAGTAATTTTCGTAACCCTCGAATGGAGTTGGCGGGTAGCAGTGGAGGTGGTTAGTACTGAATAATAGCAAGTTGGCAAGCTAGACACTATACCAATACGATCACTATGAATCATGTTAAAGCACTTTGGCTTCCTACATAATGCTTGTGGTCATACAGTCAGTGACCATGAGATAATAAGTGTTATAATTACAAGTAAAGAGTGTCAGAAGGTTAATCCTGAAAATTTATTTCCAAATTATACATGTTTAGTAAATAAGCTGATTAATAACATTATTAATAGAGCTTAAATATTGTTGTGAAGCATTGTAAATATGAAAATTGAATGAAAATATCATCAGGCACATTCGAAAATAGTATTTACCATATTATAAGTCGTCTGGTTCTGGACTGAAACTGGAGAAAAGTTTGTGGAAGAGACGAAGAAGAGCGGATGCGAATGCGCTACTACAAACGCACACTCGGCCAACCATAGCATGAATTATTCTCACGGCTGCCCGTGGGAAAATACGGGTTACGCCGGTAAGCATCGCAAATGCTCTTGCTAATTACATTTCATGATCCAAGACCGTCATCTAGACCATTCAAATACTCACTATTTTGTCTGTCTATTATTGTTACTGATCAAATGATAATTATCTATTTTGTGTCAATCATTCTGGTAAATCTTTTGTTCGCTTTATTGATGAAATTATCAATACAAAAAAAACTGTACACTCAACAATAGATTTGGAACCGTTGGAGATTAATAGCTGGATGGATTACATATTGTATTTTTTATTATGTTATAGGAAGGAAATTTCTCTATATAACATTTTATATTTCATCCTTCGAGGACTAGTTTACAAAAAAATTCTCAAACTGTTTTATTAATATAAATTTATGCTTTTTTATTATAAATAAGCATGCATAGGTATAATTATGAACAGAGCATTAACTTTTATACGATTTGTTAAAGGGTAATTGATTTTTCAAATCATTTTAATGGCTTCCTATTTTAAGTCTGTTATTATTCTTTAAATAATCATCAGTCTGATATCAATATTACTTTATAAATCTATTTATAATCTTGTTATTGATAATTATTTTATCAATATTTAATTTTTGTTATTGAAAAAAAATATTTTACACAATAATTGGCTACTAAAAAAGTCATTAAAGTATTTTTTTATGTTCTATTGTATATTTAAAATTGTAGAAAACAAAAAGAAAGCAATTTTTAGTTTGTGGTATTGTGTAAAATCTTTAAAAATTCTTAAGTAATTTAAGAGAACTTTCATATGATTTCGAGTAAAAAATTTTACTTTTTTTATACCGGAAGTTTTACTCTTTTACAAAATGTATAGCGTGTATATAATTGATCATTCAGAAGATGCATGTTTAAAAGCCAGCTTTTTTCTCTAGTTTGTTAATACCATTATTTAGATTTAACTCTTATTTTGATGTCAATCATGTTATGAATTGATTTTTATCAATTTTATTGACAGGTCTATCAATATTTTCAATAATGTATGATGTTCAAGCAATGATATCTTCAGTGAAATACCAGATTTAACCAGAATAAAGCTTCAAAACATACATTTTTCAACACTCTTTTTTTGGAATTAGAGATATATTGTGTTTAAAGTGTATTTGTAGAAACAAAATTTGAAATTCAATACAACTGATCAAGTATAAAGTAATTGTAAAATATAGTAGCAATTCTTTTAAACTTACTGAAGCAAAAATTGAAGATTCATTTACTAACTGAAAAATTAGTTCTACTACATTGAATTAAATATCTTATTAAAACTTGAAAAAATCTAGAAGATAAAAGTTGTTCACCAAGAAATGGTAAAAGTTCTTTTATTTTATTCATCACTGTTCAACTACAATTCAAGATAGTTAAAAAAAAATGAACCCAACTGTTATTTAGATTAATATTAATGGATTTTAATCCTTTGTTAGTACAATACTAATTTCTGCTATTTTCGGAGCTCACTTGTATTTATAAACACACTTTAGAAACAGTTATGTGATTACATTTCTTGATACTCTTAACAAGTTAGACCAAACATTCATAATAAATATACTATTCAATGACCATGTTTATAATTATATTAAAGTGTGGTACAAAAGAACAGAAATAGAGCTTTTGGAGTGAGAATACATCAAGTGTTTAACTTGTTTTTAGATATTACTGTTATATTAGCAAATTAAATAGTCGTTATCAAGTGTATGGTGGTTTTATCCAGGATGTTAACTGATAGAATCCTACAACTAGTAACTTTAATGATCTGATATTCTTGATGATGATCAAACATCCTAAAATATACTGTCTAGAATGTCTAGTTATTGGAGTCTATATTTAAAATGTACAAACATTTTGCTTTCAAGATGAAAAAAAAAAAAATGTAAACATTTCAATGTTAACATGTAATTATTACCACAGTTTTAGAACTTTATTACTTAACAGCATATCTAATCCAATATAATTTCACTTCAATATTCAATCAAATATTGCGAAAATAGTTGTTTGCAATTCTCTAATAGAAGCGAATAATTAAAAGCATTATTTAATTAATCATTTCCCAGTTGTTAAGAATATGTTCTCAAAATAGGGTAATAAGAAACAATATTTAAAGTCTGAAGTAAGCTAAAGTATGATAATAGACAGAGTATTTAGTTTTTTTTTTTTTTTGCACCGGAAGCATTGCACTCTTATGAAATGTATTGCGCGTATGTAGTTAGTCCAAGGGCCACTCTTGCATGAATGCCTCGAGTGCGAGGTCGACGAGGTAACACTCTCTCTATCTTGTTGATGTTGGTGTAGCAAATACTCAAGAGAGCAGAAGAAGATGTGGCATGAAGAGAAAAAAGGAAAAGATTGAAAGCTTCTTGTTCATAATATCTCCACTGCTTAGACTACTCAGCTTGGTGTAACGGATTTTAGCCTCTTCACGTGCTCAGCATAATTATCTATCTAACGTCCACGTGAGGTGATGTAGGCTCTCAGTACTTTAAGTCACCTGCCCAAGCACATATGCAGGTGGCGCAGGTTGATCACTAATTTTGGCTAACAGTTATATGTATATTTTTTTGTTTTCATTTGAACGAATTGATATCAATATTTATAAATAAGTTTCATAGTTATTAGGTATATCGTAATCATAGTAATTGGATAGATAGTTATGGTTTATTGTTATTGATTTTGTGAAATGATTTGTTTTTATTTAGTTCATGAGAATCGAGAATAATTAATCATAGGTTTTCGATTGTACGCCTACTTATAATATTGTTCAAAACTTAAATAATGTTCCTTTGTCGTTTCAGGAAATGACGATGCCGCCCACACCACTTACAGCCATTGCACAAACGCCAAGAAAAGAACTCGAGTCTAAATTTACATTCAATCCTGTACTGGCTAAGGTAAGATATTTTTTTAGCTTTATTTCATTTGATAACATATCAATGTTGAGTTAAATAAATACTTGAGAAATTGATAAGTCACTCAACTGAATTTAAGTTTTAACAGCTGTCAAATAATTTTTTAGTTTAGTACTTGGCATTTTTATCACAAGGTTTTTAATCGATTCTTTATTATTTATAGAATCTATTGTATTTTTTTTTTTTTTTATTCATTTATATTATCAATTATTTACTTCTTGAGGTCATGAACTTAGAGCAAAAGAAAAACTGTTATATTGATACTGTATAATTTTAATTTTATTTTTATATTCATTAAATTTACTTCATAATTAATTACTTTGCAATTTTATTTATTTTTTTTTTTTACTGAAAGTTATAATAATTATTTATTACACAATAATAATGGTGTTTTATCAAATATTTTTATATCAGTAATTAAAAAAAAAAATTTTTTTTAGTTAGAGTAAAGTATTGTTCTTGAAAGAAAATTTTTCCATTTCTCTAAAATGTCCACATTTAACATAAATACAGAAAAAAGTAAAAACTTTGAGAAAAAAAAGTTATAAAGTAGAACAGCTTCTAGATGTAATGTGGTGTATTTTCTTATGGATAGAAATTGTGAAATAGTTAAAAGGGTGAATTCCGTGGGATTAATTCGATTTGTAGTTTCAACTTAAGTAAAAGAACTCTGTGATTAAAATAGTTATGTCGCGTTATACTTTAAAAAGAAAAAGAAAGATAGAAGAAAATAATTCTTACCATTTTACACTAAATTCCTTTTATCGATTACTCTTAATAAATGCAGTTATTAAAAATATAATTACTGAAAAGTATTTTTAAAATAATTTCAATTATTTTAATGATTAAAATATTTAAAATCTTTCTTTAGTAATAATTATCCATCTTATCAATTAATTTTAGTAATTTATATTTAACTCATCAGTTAATTAATAATATAAAAAGCTGAAAAAAAAGTCTGCTTCTTTAAATGAAAAAGCTTTTAATTTAAATATAAAATAAATGAGTTACATTTGAATTTGAATTTTTTTTTTTCAAACTTTAAAATTCTATATTTCCTAGAAGATTCATTTTTAAAAAATAAAATTACCTGTCATATAATAAGTTTAATAAATTTTAAAAGTAAAACCTTGTTTTTTTTTTTCGTTACAGTTGGAGATCCCACCAGAACCCACAAAGGCACCACGTAAGTATTTTTTATCGATAATATTTTAATAATAGCCAAAGATTTGCTGAGATTTAACGATGTTTTTTGCTTATATAAATTGTTTAAGATCGATTATAGTCTATAGATATTAATAGAGTTAAAAGAAAAGTAAAAAAAAAAAAAGGTTGTAAAACAAGTATTCACTGTGTCTGTTGTACTCGATCATCAATTTAATATTTTTAAAGTGAGAAAAAAGTCGTCTATTTGAATATGCAGTACAAGCTTGTTGATCACGTATGCGACAAAGCGGATTGTCTTGAGAGAATATTCAAGGCATCCGTTTACCAACACACATCCTTCGTTTACGACCATACCGACACTAAATTTATCGCGATTGCCCTCGATCACAGCAGTATTTTATCCACAACTTACTCTTCAAGTCAAGGAGCTACCATACGTAGAATATCACTAAATTTATGTACATCAGTTTTCTTTACTTCTAACTATTTCTGATGAAAGATCAATAATAAATCTTTGATGAAGGAACAACAATTTGCTGGCACATTTGTAAACAGTTAATTATTTATCCAATCATTTTGGCTGATAAAGTTATTTTCTGAAGCTACGTTACATGATGTTCCATCAATAGTTTTTTCAACAATAATTATTCTTAAATTAATCACCTAGAAGTTGATGAAAAGTTGTTGTAGGTTTTTCAATTAGTCATTTTTATAAATCATTTTTGATTGATTTGTTACTTCATATCAAGATAAAGTACAATTGATTAATGAAAAATATTTCAAAGTTTTAATGTCAAAGTTCAGTACTCTTTTAGAATATTTCCACTCTAACGTGAAAAATTGAAATAAATGGGAATCAATTCTTCAAATTATGTGACTACACCACGAATGGAAGCAAAAGTAGTTGATGTAAATAACAGAATTCCATTATAGGAATGGATATGATTTTGTTAATTAACTAGCTTTTCGATTTTGGAGTACAGAGAACAAGTAAAAATTAATTATCGACCAACGAGAATTATATTGTGATCAACAAAGCTATAATTTACTGTTTGAATTTCGTCTGTTCCATAAGTCTATTTTGTTAGGTGCTAAATTTTCTCTTCTAGATATTTTTAGGCTGTTCAATATAATAATAGACCTTACATGAACTTGGTAGCACAGACTGATGGTTTATTTTATCAGCAACTAACATTTAAATTAGATATATTTCTAGAATTGTCTGCTAAAATCAACCTGGCATCATTAATTGACCTTTGGAATTTTAAATTTAATTTTTTGATTTCATGAAAAATTATTTGATACTCATCATTAAGATTCTCAAAACAATTTAGCTTTGATGTTTTTCTGAATGATTAAGCAAGATTTCATCTGATACTGGTAAAAAAGGAATAAATTATCAAATTATCGTACATTGATGATTGTACTTGAGCTATTTATAGAGATGATGGTTTAGAACAATTAAATTATGTCGCTTGGAATTTTTTTTTTTTTGGCATTCCTATTGTATAATAGAGTCAGCCAGATAATCAATAAATCAGTCTAACTATAGAGCCATAGAGTAAAGAATTTGATTGCAAGTTGAATGGATTTTAGTAGAATGCAATAAGTGCATTAATTTCTGTGATATCACAATGATTAGCTTTAAAAATAGAATTTCATTGAAATCTTGTTGGAATTTTTAAAACTTTTGGAAGAAGAATCATGTGCTAATAAATATCTAGCTATTATTATGTAGATGATAATGGATCTAGATAGATGTTTGAATGAATAATAGAAAATTGTAGAATTAATGAATCAAAAAATTCAAAAATAAATCCAACAAGTCTTTTTGTTTTAAAACTCTGATTGATGACAATATTTGATATAGTGTTTTATCATCATTATTTGACTGTTGAGAAAAGTAAAAATAAAATAGAAAAATGTTTAAAAATAATTCAACATGAAATATTTATCTATATATTTTTTTCAATTTCTCAAGTCACTAAATAATATTTCTTTTGTTTCTTTTATACTTTATTTTTCATCTATGTCAACTTGAAAAATAAGTCATGAGTTTTAACAGTGAAGAATGATTCTTGATTGTTAAAAGAAGAAGTTTTCTAGCTTTTTCAAACTTTAAGGAACAAGTTTTGGTTGACTATATCGACTCTTTTACCGTTAGAGGTTTGCAAGGTTTTCCCTCGACGAGCTTTTTAAATCTCTACCAGCTTAAAAACTTGTCTTCATCCTTTCACCTTTTAGCTTTTCCATGTACTCATTCACTTAAATGATTCACTTTCTCATTTGCTCCTTCAAACTATAACTTGATTGATCTGTCCATCATATGGCTGTTATTAATTAATCAATCAATCAACATTTTAATAATTATTAAATGAACAAATGAAAATTTTTACTTTTGTCCCTGACCTATTTAGTCCCAAGGTTAAATTAAGTTTGAGCTAACAGTCTATCAATGCCTCCTACATGCATACCAACAAGTAGACACGCGACTCGCTTCCTACGTCAAGTTGAGTCGTTGTTTGGTTCATCATGCGAACTATTCACTTCTGTACTTTACAGTTAAAATATTCACGGCACTTGGAATACTTACAAGCGTGCAGTAATATGCATGTTGGAATTCTTTAAATTTTTAGTTACGTCAGTTATGATTTTATAAGAATTTCCTTGCATTTACGGCTAAAACGTGATTGCAGTTATGGATGCAGCTGAATACAAAAAAATAATAAAAAACGAGAGAGAGAGAGAGAGAGAAAAGAGGGAAACAGGTGCAGAAACCGGCTGGCGTGTGCCAGCCGTCAGATATCTTGTCAAACACAAGCCAGACTTTTTGCCCTGAGTTTCTTCTTCCTTAAGAAACTGAAACTGGGCCACTAAACTCATCTTTGAATATTTCTTAAATTAACTGTAATTCATTGTAATTAACTCATTATTTGCAATGATAAGAATATTTTATTTATTTAGCAAGAATAGGTTGGTTATCTCCATTTTCTTATCATGTTTGTTTTGTAAAATATTTAAAATTGAAATGCTAGATAATTGTAAAAACTCTTACTAATTTTATCTACTTTATTCAAAACAAAATTTTTAATAGATGAAAGTCTTTTTTATTTATAAAAAAATATATCTCAAGATAAAAAATTAAATTAAATTAATTAATTTAATTTATACTGTCTTCCAAGACAATTCTCTGGCATTAGAAGATCCTTTATCATAAGTCTTACTCCAAAGCTATCAACTAATGATGAATGAAATATTTGTGCTAATTAAGTCACATTTATATTTAATCTATTGATTAGAGTTTACAACGTGACATCCAGTAACAGTGGTTGCATTTATTTAAATTGGCAATATTAATTCTAGCAATTATTCAACATATTATCCAATAAATTAACTATCTTTTTAATAATGAACCTTACTGAAAATGACATATAGGATACTTAAGCCATTTGTAACTAGTGTTTTTGCTTTTTATATTTAACAAAACGTTTAAAAATGAATTAGATACTACAGTAGTATATATCGTATATATAAAATATATGCTTTTAGATATCTCATACATGAGATTCAATTTATCGATTGACCTGCTTTTTAACTCAGTTAAATCCTACCCAATTTAATAGCAGCATTGAAGAACTAGTATGTAAAAAAAAAAGTTCGACCTCGAATTTTCATTTCAAGAAAATTTATCGCATCAATTAATTAAATCGAAATTTAATTTAAACTAACAAAAAAAAAAATAAATAGTGATACATTTGGTTATATTTTTTTAAATTTTATCAGAAAATCCTTTTGGTATTTTGTTATTGCAAAAATAAAATATAAGAAATTATTATTCACAAATATTAAAAATAGTTATTATTAAATTTTTTATTTACTAAGTAAATATTTTTAATGCTGAAAAACAAAGCTTTATTTTTATATTTTTCAATATTTCATATCCTCGAAAAAAAAAAAATTTGCAAGTCATGTAAATCCACTGGAATATCAAACTAAAAACCAAAAGAATAAATTATATTATAAAAAATATGTATCAGCACGAAATAGGTATTGTTGGTACGTGCTTAGTAAATTTTTAAAAATATTTCACCTGAATTAATTTTATTGAAATATCATTCAATATTTGATTATTGATATACCAGTTCATATTTTTAGCTACATTTAAATGGAATATTTGAAAAAGCTTGTCAATAATTCAGATCCACCTACCATACTTCAGGTGATATAATAATAACAACTTAAAGGAATTTTAGACCACCTTTTATCATTATAAATGATTCAAGAAATAAGATTGGATTTCTAGTTATTATAATGTAAACTCTTTTATTCTAAATAATGATTGTTCATTATCAACTCTTATATCATTAATTTCTATACAAACCTGCTAACTTGAAACTACTAATACCAGTTTCTATCATGTTATATCCAATTATATTTCTTATGCCAATAGAAAAAACCTCATCAAATATTTACAGAAATACTTTACAATAATTTACACTCCAACAAAACTATCACTTGGAAAAAAACTTTGCTCAATATAAATCTAATTTTCACTTTTTTCTACATACTTCACTTCGGAATAATAAATAACTGAAATTGTCATGTTAGTATCCATTTATCTTCCTAAATTCATTCATGTTTCTATCATTTCTTAAATATTAATTGAATAAAAAGTGATAACAGGCAATAATTTATCTAATCTTCAGCTATAATTCATCAATAATTTCTGCTAATAATACAGTACATCTAGATCAATCATGAACTGATATCTTCAGTCATCTAATCTCCAACTATAAAACCCTCTTAATAATTATTCTAACCAGTTAAAACATCAATGTATCATTTTTTCAATCAACGAATCAACTAATTCATGTATCACTGATTTAGCACAAACTATTTTCATCAATCACTGGGCAAAATAATGCAAATTTGACTGTTTGATTCCCAAGTGTGTGGTGTCCATGTATGAAACTATCACATTCACAAGTCAGCAAACAACAGACGTCGTTAAACATAGAGGGGATTTTATTGCAAAGAGTGGGGTACATCAGCAGCAATATGGGGCACATCATTGCAGGTGAAGCCTATAAGTCCTATAAGGGTGCCATAAAAAGCCAGACTTCAGTATTTTAGCTTCATGTTCCCCTTCTGGAAACGAAGGCCCCTCCTTTTTCTCAACTACTGCGTCAATGTTCACCATACTTATACGTGTGTAAAATCAAAAGCTATGGGGTTCTTCCTTGTGCACTTTTACCAGTATCATCGTCATACTTTGCTGCTAAATTCAACCACGTTATTACACGAGATCAATAAACGATTTAATTTGATAAAGATTCACTTTGTCATATGCATTATTAAACTTCTTTTAATTGATATTATTGTGCATAGTTGATAAGTTAATTGAATATCAACGCTAAATAATCAATTTGCTTAAAGTAAAAGCTATTGTGAACATGTGACAATTATGTAGTGTTTATGAGAGTGCGTGTGTAGATTGAATAAAAAAAAGTGTGAAAATCAGATATTGCATCATGTGCACTAAATTTGAAATGCTACGAGGGATTGCCAGCTATCTTCTTGTATCAGGTGTGGTGATAATATTGTTATTTTTCCGCGTGGAATCTTATCGATTAGCGTCTATATCACTATAGGTCATCGATCTGGGTAAAGCATCCGTGGGAATCCTTCCATAATAGACATGCTTGTGGAAAATAGCTCAGTCCAAGGGATTTACAGTACTGTATACTCTGTCAATCTTAGTGACTTTTATCTAGAGAGTTACTTTTACATACCTTATCTCATGTCTAATAGTTTTTTTTTTTTTTATTTATTTACTTTAATATCCATGGTATAAAATATTTCTCCTCTAAGAAATGTTCATGTTTGTGAGAATTAGTATTTTATTACAGTTTAATGATCTTTTAAATTATTATGGGAATATTATTTTTTTAGAATTATTAAGTTTTTTTTGTTAGTGCTTCATATTAGAGTACTTTATCTACATTAAAAGTTTTGAAGTAACTATTCGTGCTTTTCAAAAAGGTCTTTGAATAGTGAAGCAACTGAAGAGAAAATTCAGACCAGGTTTTAGTATTTTCTCATTTACATTAAAATTATTTTGATGAAATTGATATTTTTCTTTGCTCTGAATGTAAGTTGTTAAAATTCCTTTTTACGTAACAATTTTTATCAAGTTCTTTTTCTAAAGTTTTTTAGCAATTTAAAATAAACATGATATAATTTTTCATGAGTATGAGTAATTTTTGTTTTTAAATGATGCTTTTAGTAGACTTATGTTGGAATGTGATACAAAGTATTATCCATTGAGAATCTAATCAAAATTAATTACTCATTAAATTGTCATAAATCCTGATTAATTCATTGATCAGCATCAAGGTTTTTAGGTTCTTTTTAGATTTTTCTTTTTATTTTAAAATATTTTTACAACACTTAGTAAATAAATTGACAAAGTTTGTCCATTAAATTGCTAATGAATAGCAATTATATTTACAAATTATTCGATTTATCTATGCATTATATTGATTAATTATCAATGAAATTGATTAATCCAAAAACCAATTGTCCACTATCTCTATAAACAGCAATTATTGAATTACCTTGTTAATTAGCCAATCAAAAAAGCTTCATGCTTATCATAGCCATGGAGATACATTATTAGCTATTATTCTGTTTATTTAAAGTCAACAAAGTTTAACATAAAGCATTGTCACGTCTGAATAATTAAAACATTTTAATCTTCCAAATGACCAACATTAAACTATCTTAGTAAATATTCCTTACTAAAATAAAGTTTATAAATCATTGTAATAAATTTCCTAAGCAGCTCAAATGAATTTAACAATCTGCTTCAACCAAGCGAGCATACATTATTTGATAAAATTTATTCAGAGCAGAAAAAAAGGGTAGTAAATTTGATGTAAAATGTTGACGTGCATGCTATCATCTTTTTCTTTTTTTTTTTTTTTAATAAAAAACATATCTGCGTGTTTAAAGTAGCTATAAAACTTCATTGTACATATGTTAAATTAAAGAAGAATTTGCAGAATTCTTCTTACATTGTCACATAATGATTAATATCATTTAGCTCCTGTCTAATTGAAATGTTATGCCACTCAGTGAAAGAAAAGAGTTGAATCACAAAAACAGTTTTAATGAATGGTCTGTTATTAAAGTAGTCTTAAGAGTAACCCTAAAGTTACTTTAATTGACTGTTGCATGAACTGACCTTTTATAGCAAGACTTATTAAATGTCAATCATTTTCAATTTTGCAAGTGCAAGTTTTTCCCATTACAAAATATCTTTTTCCTGATGCGAATCATTCCTACTTATGATTCTGATCAATAGCAAAAAAAAAACGACCAAATTTTCTTGGCCTTTTTTTTTTTTTATAATAATACACAATACCTTTCGAGTATACGTGACGAAATTCAATTGTAGCATCGTCCAGGTGCTCAAATTCCCTCTCCATACTGGAGAAGTCTGAACATGCAATCTACTACGACTTTGTCTCATGATATACCTGGCTCTATATCCATATTACACATATACATAGGTACTAGCCAGCTGGTCTATAGACAGTTTTGGTGTCTTGGCCAGCTGCAGAACATTCTACTTGTCAAGACACATTTATATTTACTTTATACTTTTGTTTACTAATTTTATTTAGCAAAACGAAAGTCAGAAACTGATTGCCAACGAATACATTAAGTAAAGTAAGCTGATTGTTGGTCGTTATTTCGAAACAAATGTTTACAACTTATAGCTTTTGACAGTTGACATCACATTGCAATAAAACTTTTTTATTCATTTAAAATTATTTATATTTATTTGTAATATTTAGTATACAATGGCTGATTAATAATTCCAACTGAACTTTGGCAAATAAATTTTCTTTATCAAACCAAGACAATAAATAGAGCAAGCTAGTAGAGGTAAAGAAAGGCTATCATACTAGGTTGGTTCATCAAATTGTCATTAAAAGCTGAATATGTTTATTGCAAAAATGATAATCATGGAGATGAAGTTTTTATTTATAAAGTTTTTTGTACTTCAAAACATTGAAAATTTTTATCTTCTATCTCGAACGTTGTAACTACTTTCAGAACTTTAAATAGAACATTCAGATTGGCAGTTTACGTTATTATACTTTTAAAGGATTAATATTTTAAATTTTTTTTATGGTGATTTTTCTATCTTCTTTGCTGTTGTTTTCAATCAATTAAGAGTTTAAAAATCTTCTTTTTAACATTGAGAATGAACTCTAAGAAACTTTTAATTGGCTATCAACAAAACAGGTGTTGAATTTCTCTAAATCATGAAAGTAAAATTTCCAACAAAGATTTTTTGTTTTGTATTTTTTTAAAGCATCTTTTTGCATCATATTACTGATCTTTTAAAATTATTGTCACTTAAAACACCAGCTTGGAGAAGCCACCAATTGTATCATGTTGGAAACTGGTTGGAGATCATTTATTACATATATAAACATGTTATAAATATTAAATGACATCAGGATTACCATACTAAGTTGCTTCTTATTACAAACATCAATTCTTCGACCATCAATTCAATTGTTTTGTAAATAAAGGTAAATTTAACTGCATTGACATCAAAACTGGAGCAGAAGAAGATTGATTAATAGATTTATTTCAATCCAAATATCATCAAAGGGACTTTATTTTTTTCACTTCTCCCTTTTTCTACATTTTATTTTACAATATAATAAAACAAAGGATCAATTTTGACAACGTTTTTTTTTGTTTTCGTTGTCCAATTGTATTCGATTGACTTACATAAGCTTGTGTACATTTTTACCATCAAGTTTCTACTTCACACGCTCCAACAATGATTAAACCACACGTTTGATTCACGTATTCTCAAGATCCTTTATATTTTTATTGCTTTTCTCCACTCTTTACTATTGCTCTCTATCTGAACTTGCACGTTACATGAACGTGACGGAAATACATTGAGTATGAGGTAGATGTTGAGGAACATGAAATATTACTTTCAATCGTGATCTAGGAATTCTTTTTGACTTTCCAAATGGTGGCACATCACTTATCATAATGTATTTATTAATAATTTAATCATGAAAATTTATTTAAATTTTTATTAATATAAATATAATTTTTTATTTGTCTTTTAATCATCTTGTAATTATTATATGAATGATTTTTTTTTTGTTACAGAACGTGAGAGACATGGAGCAAGCAGGCTGTCAGCGTAAGTATATTGATTCATAAAAGCTTTACCAAAAGTTTAGTAATCTATTTTAATAAAGTAGGATTCACTTTATGTATATGACATTCATACACAAAATATACTTTATAAGGGAACGTATGATACAAAAGCCCTTTTCAAAATTTGTCAAACTATCAAGATTCAAAGAGACTTGGTGCTACTTTTATGCAGGATTTATTTGAGATCTCAAATAAGAATAGACTTTAGTTTTCTTTTATATTCTGAGATGAGAAAAAATCTGTTTTATCATAACGTCTCTTTGACAATAGTCATGTGGGATTATTTTTGATGCTAATTATCAATTTGTCAAGTGACTATTTGTATTAAAATATTTTATCACACTGAGAAAAAAAATTTTGTTATACAAAAAAATATTGATTTTATTAATTAAAAAAAAAAATATTACTTTTTCACAGTAAATTATTTTCTCAGTGCATAAATATTATTTTTTTCTCAGTAAGTAAAAATTCTTAGATTAAAAATCCTCAACAAAAAATTTCATTCTGAGGTTTACTTTTTAATAAATTGAGAAAAATTTCAAGAAAACATTACAAAAGGTGTACACACCTTTATGAATAGTAAATAAATTAAATAATTCGTTCATTTTTGAATAGAGTTCATCTACTAGTCTACTTCTCTTGGTTATTTATTAACATTTTTTGGCATTTGTTTCTTGTTTTTTTTTTTTACGATTTACGTAGTCCCTGGCTAAAAATACGTAAAGAATAGGATATAAATTGCATGCTCTCATATAATGTTCTGAATAATAAATACTAAAATTGTTGTAAAAGCTAAAATCAATACATGTTCGTATTTTTTCGTATAATAGCACAAAACAATAGTACGTTAATTGAAAAAGTTTATTTAACTGACTTTAAAAACTCGATATTATTTATTATTAAAAGTTATAATTCACTGCTATTTGATCAATTTAAATTAATATTAAATTCACAAAGGGTAAAATGTCATTTTACATTGATAACAAAACATTTATTTTCATTCACATAATTGCAATAAATGTTATTTTTAATGATTGACATTTATCTGTTACCGAAGAGACAATTAACAATACCTTCAATTAGTTTCAAAAATACATATTTCATTGAAAAACTTAATCTTTTTATAGTGCATTGATGATTGAAAATTTCTTGAGTAGATTAAAGTCAATTTCTCTTTGGAAAGCAACTATTCCCATGAATGAATAATTTTAAAACTCAATTATTGTCCTTCACATCAATTTCAATTTTTTAATTTTCTTGTTAATTAAATACTGTATCGAACATTATTTGAGAGTAATTGCTCCAACTTTTCATCGTTTAGACTTTTAATTAATTTTTCTATCACATTATTGTTACCTCTGATTAATTATAATTTTTTTTTTTCAATGATTCTTAATTTAAACAATCACCAATGAACTTGAATATTATTTCATTGATCATTTAAAGTGTTAAAATAAAAATAATTCAATATCTTTTAATTACTTATTAATGGGTTGATTAGATAAATTAACTTCTTCTCTGGTTATTTAAATACCTCATTAGAATGAAGTTGCCATTTGATAAATTCACTTAGACAAAAATTTATTTAGACTTTAATAACATGTACTTTATCATGTTATTTTTTCTTCTTATCTTGTTAAATTTCTTTAGTATTTTATTGTCGAGTTTTATCTACCAATTTATGTACATTTGCACACGTGAATGTATTTTCTATTCCCTATATGCATGCATACATTCTTCTTCAAGCTTATCCATATCGTGTATTTAGTTGGACAATTTTACTCTTTCATTCATTCACATTCCAGTATTGATTTTTTTTTCATCAATCCCATCTTCAACTATCTAGAATTATTTTATTACATAAAATTACAACTAAGATTATTTATGATGAAGGAAAAACCAAAAAAAAAAAAAAGAATGAATTTAGTTTAATACAAAAATACAAAAGAAAAATGAAATTTTTAAAATATTTTTCAAACTTATCACATATCCGTAATGATTTTCCGTTGTGGGCGTCTATATATGGTACAGAATTGCATGGTCTGTGCTCGTAATAAAGGGTGAGTGTAGAGATAGAGGCAAAGTTATTACCGACATTGGTTGGCACACGTTGCACGACAGAATACAAACAAGGAAAAAGGTGGAATGACGAGAGAGAGCTGGTTCAAGGAGGAGGAGGAGGAGGAGGAGAAAGAAGAGAGTTAGAATTCATGCAACTTTTAAAATTATTCACAGTCTGCATAGTGGAATTTTCTCTACTCTCTTGATTCCCTGGATTCTCTCACTTTCCCACTTACTCTTTTGTCATCTGGACTTGTTCTCCAGTTAATAAGCTAAGAAAAAGACTAAGTGTAACCAACATTCTAGGATCCAACTAATTGTGGCTTTGCCATTGACTTTTATTACTTACAGCAAATCACCAAGTGTCTGATACACTTATTTATTTCATAAAAGATCCAATGAATTGATTCAATTTATTTGAAATTATCTTGTAAAAGAAACAACTAATCGTTTAAATGTAAAACAAGACATAAAATGGGGTGACAAGTTAAGAAAACAGGCTGTCTTTTGCCGCTTACAATCTCAATAGCTAGCAAGACAAAGGAAGAACAATGTAAAATGAAGAAGAGAGAAAAGCTAGAAGAGGAGTATGAGTGAAAGGATGAGACTCCAGGACTATCGATTGCAAAGGTTTCTGACTGGGATGTGAGAGAAAGAGATAGAGTGAGAGAGACAAGGGGACAAAAAAAAAACGAGTTACTACAGGGGATGGAAATATTCCTCTCTTTCTCTTTCATTTTCCTCCGTGGTAGTCATCCACTCTAGTCTGCAACGTCGACTAGGGTCGTCGACCGTCCACCAGTTAAACATTCGACCACTCCAAAGTTCCTTTGTTTCCATTCGACAATTCTTTCAATTTTATTTTCATTCGAAAAATGACACTAAAGCTTATTCAAACATCTTGGACAATGTAGATTATTTGATTGTCCACTTTGTGTCATTAAAAAATAATCAATACACCATGTGGTTTGGATGTTACGATGCTATTGAGTAATAGTCAATTATAAATTTATTGATTTCATTTCATTTTACATCAAAAGATGGTTTATAATATTTTTTTATTGTATTTTTTTTTTTAAGAGAGAATGAGAGGAAAAATAATACCAAGATGATGAAAATTAGATTGAACTAATGAATTAACTGATTGATAAATATAGACCAAGTTAGTCTTTATAGTGACAATGAATGTTTATCAAGGTCATAAGCCTCTTAACTGTTATGAAAATAATCCACTAATGCATTGGAGCTTATTCATTGATTAAATACTGATAAGTCAATGTAGAATGTCAGCACAATCAATATATCCTCTTGATGAAGGGCATCGAATCTTATGATTAGAGATTGTTGGAGATCAGAGCACTAAGCTACTTGGAATGAAAATTATTGGAAAGTTTTATTAGTATCAAAACCTTCATTATTCCTATGGCAAAAGTAGGCAAGCTTAATTTCGAATTTAGTACTGTTGAAGAGATTGAAGTAATTACCATAAATTACGAGTAAATAGTAAATGGTTCACTTCATTATATATTTGTGGCTCAATCTCTAGTTTAATTCATAAGAAGAAAACTGTTTTGCTTTCAATATTATTTTTAAATTCACAGTGAATATTAAAATAAAGAGCCACGATTTTTATAATTAATTTTGTGGAATGGATTAATATTTATATTTTTTTATAAATTATCTTTTATGAAGGAAACCACTTTTGATGTAACTTTGAAGTCTGATGAATTCATGTCACTGAATATATATTTTTCTTATTTATTTTATATCATTTTATATATTTATGAGCTGTAAAAGAAGATTTTATAATCTGATATTTAACAAAGGATATATGAGAGAATGCACAATCGATATAAATGTTGAAAGAATTTAGTGTACAATGTAAAAATGTCAAGTACAAACCAGATTATCATACTATGAATATTTATAAAAGTAAATCTTTATTTTTTAAACACTATGATTAAGATTGTGATTTGATCTAGATTTCATGGTCTTAAATTATAAAAAATTATCATTATTAAATCATTAAATAATGATTTTTAATCATTTGTTGTTGAATCAAAGCTTATAGTTATCTAACTTATTCAACATTTCATATAATTTTGAAGTTTTGAAAATAAGAATTATTTAGACAATTAAAAAATTATTCTAAAAAGATATGTAAATGTTCTATTTGTATCAAAATATTGATAATCAGTAATTCAATTAAATATTTAATCGACCATGAACGTAATTCAGATGTAAACTTGAACCTAGGGCTTACAAGCCCTGTAAGATTAAAGATATCTCTCCTTAATTACTCCTTCTGATACACTAAATCCCTTGAAGATAGACACGTGCTAATATTCATTGAGATAGAAAATTATCATCATCATTAAAAAGATTTACACCACCATTTTTTAATGATTGTAAAAAATTTATTTATTTATTTTTCTCTCTGTCTGAATGACAATCGTATATTTCTAATTATAATTTTTTTAATTCAGTTGCCATGTCATTATTACCGTTATTCTATAATAAAATTAGTAATTAGGTATTGATTAATTGTATATGTTCACTGGAAGGTTATTCAATCATCATTAGTCTGTGAATTTACATAGGTCTAAATAACGTAATTTATTTACTGTCCTTCAAGCTTGCTGGTACAGGTTGGAAGTAGGATACAATTAAATTTTTCAGATTCATTTCTTTTTATTTTTGTTTCTATCTTGATCTTATCCATCTCGATTATTCTCTTAAGGCTTTATTAGGTTGAAACAAGAATTAAAAAATTCCTTTTTTTCTATCAAATAGTTATTCTCTTGAAGTTCTTTGTATCTTTTGTTAAAAAATTCCCATAAAGTTTGTGTTTGAATGTTTTTTTTTTATTTAATCAATAAAATACTTCTGACAAATATTTCATAATAGATAACTACGACTAAATAAAATATTAAACTAAATTAAATCAAATGGTTGAAAATAAAATTTAAAATATTTTTAAAATTATAAAAAAACCATTTGATTACTAATTTAAGTTAATGATCTATCAATAAAACGTCAGTGTTGAAAAAATTTTTAATACACCGAAAGAATATTTTTAAAAAGATTTTAAAATATAAATTATTATTTGCTGAGAAATTTAATTGTTTAGTATAATGAACATTTAAATATACTCTATTACCATTGAAAGGACTTTGGAGCATAAAATGAGGATAAAAGCCCAGATAATTTTGTACTACTATGATTTTTATTATACCGCAATCTTTGGCATTGAAAATAAAATAAAGGCGGAGAGAATCGTTAGTGGTTGAATCTTGATTGTAAAAATGTCATAAAAGGTTTAGAAGTGTCGGAAGAAGGTGTTAAAACCCGAGGGGTAAAAGTGTTGAGAGGAGGGAAAGATACGCATGTAACAAGTAAATGGACCTTAGCTTGTAAATGCGTAACACAGTAAGGTAGCAAACCACTGTCGAACGCAGAAGATAGGGTAGCACAGTCTGAGCGGGGTCGACGTCCGCGATCCTCTCTTTGCCTCTAAATATATTGTGCACACGTATGTACATACATATGTCGTGTATATTCTCTTTTTACTCTTTACTACGTTCTACTCAACTCTGCACCATTCCGCCACTTTGTGTTTACCGATTCTATGGTATCGCTTACCCGTTAATGTATTTTAGCTTTCTCTGACATTATTTTATATTATTACAATACTCTGATTCAATATTTTATATCATCTTATTACTTTTGTACATTTGTTTATTATTCCACTTTTTCATTTAATCATTTTTATTATTTTTACTTGCAGAGATCTTGAACGTGACCTGATTCTTTCTGAGGACAGTGACGATGAAGATGTCAAGGTGAGCTTTTGACAATTATTCAAAAAGACTCTTTTTCTGGTATTATAAAAAAAAAACATTTTTTCATTTTCAGAATCCAATTTCAAGATTACCAAGAGGTAATAGAAGTCCTGATTTAACAGTGGAGTGAGTATTTTTATTGATATTAAAAATAAATAATACAAATTATTTTTTATGTTAACATTCAAATCATTTGTGTATATAAAAAAAAAAAGTGCAGAGAATAGGTAGAAAGAATTTTTTTTGTTGAGGGACATTTATTCGCAACAGGTGACTTTTATGACAATAGAAATATTTTTTGTATGATTTGAGTATGATTGATATTGTTATTTTTGAAATCTATTATGATATTAAGTCAAAAACGGATTTTATATACATTTTGAAATTAAAACACTTTAAAAAATTGAATTTAGGCCATTTAAAATAATTGTTTATTTAAATTATAATTTTATTCTAATTTTAAATCATCATCAAAACATCAGAAATAAATATTATCTATTCCACAAGCGTGAATTTTCAAAATTATTATCAATTTAAATAGCTCTTCTATCCCTTTCATTAAAAAAAAAAAAAATTGCACTTAATACTACATCATTTCAATAATTCACATTTATTTACAACAGCAACGTTGATCTCTATCACTAAAAGCAGTATAAAAAAAATCAATATTATTTAATTACAGCTTATCAACGCCACTGATACCAGCTATGACACCAGCTCCACCACTGTTGGCGCCAATGTCACCAATGGGAATATCTCCCTTGGGTCCACTGTCATCTCCGAGAGCACTCAGTCCTCCACGGAATTCATCGCCACCCAAACACACGCCAATAGAGCAGCAGTTGTCACCGTTGCCTGGAAGTCCTCAGAGAAAATGTTCTCCAAGCACAATGACACAAATGAGACCGCCAAGTCCACCTGGTCAAGCACCTGGGAGTTCAGGTAGTGCTAGTTCCAGTTCAGATTCCGGATCAGATTCAGGATCAGACAGTAGTGATGATTCTGAGGATGACTCTGCACCGCTGCCTCCAAAAGGACCTTCCACACCGCCTTCTTCCTCTCCTAAAGTTCCTGTAGAAGAACCACCTCCTGCAGAAGAGTCGAAATTCAGGTGGGATCTCAAGACATATTTCAACAAGACTGCAGTGCAAACTGGTGATCCGAATTCCGAAAATAAGCCTAATCAGGTGAATATTTATTTATTTATTATTAATATATTTTTTTCAAGAACTTTTACAATGAAATCATTTGTTTTTTTTTAATCAGGGCGAAGCTACTCGACGTGACAGTTCTCCCGAAGAAACTTCTCATGAGATACGAGGTCGAAGATCTGAAACAAATCACATGAATAACGACTGGAAGATGGATGACGCATTAAAGAGAACAAGAAATACAACGATGATGGGAGTGTTGAGTGATAATGAGCAAAACTCTGATTTAGAGAAGAAAAAGAAAGCTCAAGAGCAAAGATCTCAGTTACAAGATAAACCAAAGCCGCCAGATGTACGAAAACGTGGAAGACCACGGAAAACTGTGAATGAAACAGTAAAAAGTCCGAGAAGTCATAGAATGTCGATAGATGATGCAAAAACAAAAAGAAGTAAGCCACGTAGTGTGAGTAGTCCTAAAAAGAAAGCACCTATATCAAGACTTACAATTGATAATAGTGATGAAGTAAGTGATTCAAGATCACAGGACAGATCTAGTGATTCAGAATGTGAACGATCGACAAGAATTTCTCCGGTGCCAGTTATTCCAGCTGAGAAACGAAGATCTCGATTGAGTGTTTCATCAAGTGAAGATGAAAGAACTAATAAAAATAGTGGGTCTGAAGACGATCCGCGTTGGAGAAGAATACCAATGAAGCGAAGTAAGCTTACAGACTCTCCAACAAAGAAACAAGATAAGAAAAAGAGTCCCAGTAAAGTGAAACCTCGACGTCCGAGATCGAGAGTAACTAACACTTCAGGTTGTGCATCTGATTCAGACAGTGATTTAGAAACAAACTTACGGAACAATCGAATTCAGGTGGCGAGAGTACCACCAAGACCGAGAGCTCCGCTGGCGAGAGCTACATCGCCGGATAATTCAGACAGTGACAATAGTCCGACACCAAAACTGCAGGAAGAAGATGCTGGAAATGTTCAGGATAAAAAGAAGAATGATACATTGAGAAAGCTATTCTCAACTGCCAAGGGTGGAGCAAAGGGTGGTGGAAAGGGTGGAAAAGGTGGTAAAGGTGGAGGAAAATGTGGTATTTATGTAGAAGAGTATACGGGATCAGCAAACACACCAACGGGTGGTGAAAGTCCATATAAGAGACCATCATCGCAAGCTTCCTTGACACCGAGCTTTCCGCCATTGACGTATGTCAATGGAGTTCCGAGTCTCTTATGTAAACTCGACCTCAACAGAATTCCACACATACCACAAGCCTCTAGGGGTCAGGAACTTAGACAGCGTACGGAACTTCCTGATACGAGGCCGGCTTCCAGGCAATCCGTTGTTAAAGCTCAACGACCACCGACACCGGAAGAAGGTGAGATTGTTGACACTCCTACCACTCCACCATCTATCGAGTATCGAACCCATGGTGATAGTCATCGAGTAATTGATCCGGCAATAACATTAAAAAGTAAACGGTCAGAAGTGAAAAATGAATTCACTAACGGGGATGTGAAAAATCGAGCTATTCCTAGTGGTAGTGGAATAACAAGTGGTTCTACGAACTCTAGTGTAGGTGCTAGTGTAAATATTATTGCTACTACTGGTGATCATGCGCCGAAACGAAAACGTAATCCCAGCTGCAGTTCTGTATCCAGTTTGGGTGTGTGTTCTATAGACTCAAAGGTCAAGTCTGAGCACAAAGAAAAGAAAAAGAGAAAAAGAAATCATGCTGACAAAGAGTCTAATTCTTCAAGGTCTTCTTCTCATCAGGTAACCTTTATTTTTACTTTAATACGTCCTCTCTTTTTTTCTTTACTTTTTTTTTGTCTTTCTTATTACTCAAAAAGTCATTTTGATTAATTATTTATGACTTTTTATATAGCAAAATGACATACAACCTACAAATCATGAGCGAGAAGATAAGTCTGACATTAAATTGTTGCCACCACCGGCAGCACCACCTCAGCGTCTCTATTATTCTTATTTCAACCACCAGAACGATGTTTTGGAGGACCAAGATAGGTAAAGATTTTATCCTTTATCATTTAATTGCTTACTTTTTGACATATTTAAATTCAAACGACACTATTTATCGATATTTCGTTCGAATTTAGGGACCAGAATCAGTACCTGACCGAAGCTAAAAGATTAAAACACACTGCGGACGAAGAATGCGAGTTAACCGCACAAGGCATGCTATACTTGGAGGCAGTTTTGTACTTTTTGCTCACAGGCCACGCTATGGAGTCTGATCCAGTCACTGAGAGAGCCTCTTTTACCATGTACAAGGACACCCTTAGTCTTATAAAGTAAGCATTGAGTCAAGTGTATCTATAAAAACGCTAATTAGCTTGTAACAAAAGAGTTTCCTCAACTTTCATCGTTCTTTCAGATATATCTCATCCAAGTTCAAGAGCCAGCAGAACAATTCACCGGAAAGTAGTATACATAACAAGCTAGCGATCTTGAGGCAAGTATCGAATATACATTGTGAAGATTCTTTGAGATAAATAAAAAAATGGAAAATTATTCTTCAACTTTATTTTATAGCTTGTGGTGCCAGTCTTTAATTTATTTGAAACTCTTCAAAATGCGCAAACATGAAGTTAAAGAATACCAAAAAGTACTATCAGAATATAATCAAAAGGTAATAAAAATATTTAATATTTAAAAATAATTATTACTGTGAAAAATAAAAATAAATAACATGTTGAAAATAATTTTTACAGTCAGCACAACCAACGCTAGTGCAAGCTGAGGGTCAAGGAACTCCATCACTGTCTCCAACTCCATCTCCAGCAGGTTCGGTAGGTTCTGTTGGCAGTCAAAGTTCAGGATATAGCAGTGGTGAGCTTGCTAACCGCGGTGTGGTCTCAGGACAACCACCTGCAGCCACATATGTTAGTGTTCCTCTTGGTATTCACACAGCTATGCAAAAACAAAATCATCATTTTTCATTGTTGTTGAATTGCCATGAATTATGGGATCAAGCGACAGCGTTAGTTACTGATAAGCATCGAGGTAAATTATAAAATAAATCTCAAATATGTTGATTAAAAAATGAAAGAAGTTGTTGTTGAAAGTTGAATAATAATTCATGCTTTGTCTTACAGATTTCTTCATTGAATTAGATGAGAAACTTGGTCCGCTCACATTGAAAAGTTCATTACGAGATTTGGTGCGCTACGTACAAGCTGGAATAAAGAAGTTGAGAGCTCTCTGACCCCAGTGGCATAGTCCTAGGCCGCCCACTCCTAATTATATAACGGCACTTCCTCATAACATGGCAACTTACCCAACCATGTTTACGTAGCCATTGCGATTAATTCGCTACAAAGGCAATAATTAACAATACTTCACAACAATCAATTGATTAAATCGTAGGGTGGCGAGGACGAATATTTTTTTTTGAATGAATTTAGGCAAAAGGGTCATGTCTGTTCATTAAATTATATTGCGTTAATCAAATGAGATTACCTAAATCGGTTAGCCGATAAGGTAAATGATAAAAATAGTACTCACATCAATCGATGAATCCCAAAAAAAAAATTAAACTCAATTTAGAGACTGCAATAATGCATAATAAATGAAAAGAAGAGAAAACAAAGGGAAATATGTAGATCTCGGTGACGAGTGTGAATGAAAGTTGTACTCATTTCTATTCTTCCTATTTCCGAGATATTCTGCTTTTGTAAAATGTGCGTAGAAAACAATTGTACTTGATGAGTTTCGTGGTGCTGCGAAGAGGCAGTATCCTTGTATATTGTATGTCAGGAGCTTCCTCTTCAGCAAATTGTACGCACGAATGCGTCACACAAGTAATATTAATGAAAACTATATAGACGGATATAAAGTGCAGATTAATCTATACAATATATGTGTATAAATATTGTATACATTCTTATATATAACGTATATAGAAATGAATAAGAAAGAATGAGGACGGTTCATCTTTTAACGGAAAAACGTTACCGGAAGTTAACCGTTGTGCACTACTGGAAAAATAACTTTTGTAGATAAGCAACGATTATATAGTTAGATTAGTTATTAGTATGTAACAAAAAAAGAAAATCAATACATATTCTTTACATGATTATCTAGTTGGTATGGGAATCACTACTAAAGGAACTCTGTTCTAGTAGTTGGTATAGACAAAAATGAAATGAAAGAAAATTTTAATTAATAATCAAGCAGTAGATTTAATTGACTGAACGAATCGAGATAAAAGAATCAGAAAAATAACAAGCAGTGAGTTGCTCATGTATATATTTTTGTAAATAGGTATTGTGAGTGCCGCCGCCTTGAGGGGAGAATCTTTTGATCCTTGAGTTGATCACTCAGGAAAGATTCTTACCCGCCCCAATTTTTGCTACCACATCTTATCAAGAATTATTCAAATTATTAGTAATTATCCAGTTTACTTGACGTTATCTCAATAGGTCTCTCAGACATGTATAACTCAGCTTCTCAATCTTTTAGTACCTTTTTTGTTAGTAAATGCTCTACATTTAGTTTTATATTAATTGTCGTGATTAATATATTTAATGTATGTTGTGATAAAAATGAGTCATGGACAATTCAGAATCAGCTTGTAAATTGTGCGGTCCAATGAATACAATTTTTTAAATTCTAAACTAAGAGTGAATTTACCGAACAAAATAATACAAGAATTCCCATATTTTCGAGATGCATTTATTATGAAAGCAATTTATATCACATCTAAGAGTCTGATTGTCTAATATTAAAACTCATTAGAAAAAAAAAAACAGAATAATATAATTCTTGTAATTTCTGTTAAATTTTTTAGTTTGAATATGTAAACATTAATGAATGGTTTGCATTAAATATGTGATTATTATCAGTGATTGTTATTAAAGCAAGTAAATTGCATAATAAATTAAATAGTGTAATATTTTTTTTTTCTTTATAAGAATTAGAAAAATTTGTTTACGATGTTTTTTTTTTTTTTTGGTGGATTCTAAGATAATTATTTTTTAATTAATTAAATCAGTTTAAAATGAAATAATTGAGAAGAAATTAGTAAATTAATATCGATGCATGTACTGAGAACATGGCTGAGAGATTTAATAGTAGAATAGCGTTAAGTAAAATTGAGCGATTTGTACATTGTATCTAATCGAGAGTAGCAGTTGATTTATATTTATGAGAACACGGAATGGAACAATCCCCGAAAAATGTTGCTTACTACTGCTTGTTTTTTGGCAAGCTTCTTTATTATTATTATTATTATTATTATTATTATTATAATTCTTACAATTATTATTGTCATTATTATTTTTATTTTATTAATATTATTATTACTATTATGAGTACTGTATGATATTATATTATTTTCATCCATATCACTGTTGGATTATTATTTTATTATATTCAAACAGAATATCATATATATATATATAAACTTATTTTTGATGGTTAGAATCATATTGGAGCTGAAACTACTCAGTTTTTTATATATGCTCCGATTTAATATTCTTTTAGTAACAATATTTATCTGATTAATTGTAAATTGTGGTGCTCGCATTATTTTGTTTTTCTTCCTTTAACAAAATACCAATGGTTTTATGCGATTATTTAATTGATTAAAAATATCATATGATTGTTATCAGTGTAACCAAATTTTTTTCTCTCAACTACTTCAATTAATTAAATTTTTTTTTTTTAATTTTAATGTTTAAGCACAAATAATTGATTAATGATGTTTATTTATTGAATTTAATTTGTTTTCTTTTTTTGATTGTGAATTCATTTGTTAAAATTAAAAGTATAAGATATTATGTAAAATGTTCAATTTTTAAAAATTTTTTTTTCTAAATTACTGTATGTTTTCAACAAAGCACCAACGATAATAAAAATGAAAATACAGTTTTATAGTAACTTACGTACTGAGTAACACAAATGGAAAACAAACGGGTATAGAAATATTGGCACAAGCATATGCAAATAATCACAAAGTTGAGAAAAAGTTATTGGGGCACGCACAGATCTTTAAATCAGCTGTTAAAAAACTAAATGATAAGATGGAAAGTGAAAGGAAGATTCCTAGAAGGTAAACTGCACCAAGGAGAGACCAAACTCGCTTAATGAAACAATTTTTTACTCAATTTTTTTTATTTATTATTATTTTATTAATATGATTATCGATTTGATTTGTATTATTATTATGATTGATTTTCATTATTATTATATTATAATAATTATAACAATTATGTTATTATTAGTTAGTTAATTAATTAATTATATATTTTAATTATATATTTATTGCTGTGGTAACTTGAAATACAGTTAATCCACTGTTTCGGCATAGTAAATTGTTGAAACTAATCTTATTGTTACTTAACTAATATTGTTTCAGTTAGAAAAAGGAATAAACTTATACAACAAATTTTAAAACTACTGGTTCGATGAGATTGAACTTCTTCAATTGATTTTTAAATTTACAATTATGCATGAATATCATTGATACCATGCTCTAATAATCAAATTATATCTTTTCAGTAATTTCATTTAATTATTTTTATTCATTATGCAGAACATTTATTATTATTTATTGAAAAAAATAAATAAATAATGTGAATAGTAGAGCCGTATAATAAGTTTTATTTAAATTTTAATATAGTTCAGAGTTTTAATTTTTTTTTCGCTGTTTCTGAATGTTTTCAGTATCATGAAAAAAAACAATTAACATAGAGAGAATTGCTACAAATAGTTAAATTAAGAGGATTATTTAACGCAAAATAAATAAAGAACAAATATATTAATATTGCGAAATACTTGACAATATCGAATATTTGCGAAATATTTTGTAAATAGAGCTTTTTATCTATTTTATAGTATTCTCTGCTAGGAATGAACAAAAGAAGCAACAATCATTAAAATATATATAAATAAATGAATATATATATATATATATAAATGAATAAAAAATATAATAAAAAAGCACTGCTCACGCTTTTATATATTTAGTATTGCTAATGCGTTCAAAGGGGATGGTTTACTGCATACCGTGTACTCTACGTGAAATCATTTTTTTTTTCATTCTCTTATTTCGTTACATGTAATAATTGTGTTATAGGCTTATTATTACATTATTATATAAATTATATTATCATGTATATGGTATGAATTGTAAAAAAAAAAAACATATTTACTATATCATATTATTAATTAATTTCTTAAGATATTCATGTCTTTCAAATGAGCATATTGTTTGAAAATAAATAATTAAATTAACAATTTTTCGATATGTTTTTTTTTTAATCATTCGTCTTATGTTTATTATTAATTATTTATTTAAAACAAAAATAATCGTCATGAAAATCTAGTTTACCGACTGATGTTCAGATAATAAATAGATCATTGACTTTTTGGTTCAATTTATCGCCGCATCGTTTTTAGTGGCGCTGCCGTTATTAAACGGAACTCGGAGGATGAACTGAAGAGTTGATGATCACATTCGCTCGCTGATGCTTGAGCGAACGGTACTTTTGGGAATTTCTCGTCGTGTTTTTGTTTACCGTCATCTAGTGTTCATTTTGTCTTAATTTGAAACGTTACTCGGTAATTTAATTTGTGATTCAATGTTTATGTGACTTTCTTAGAAATTTCGAACGCCGGTCTTTATTGTTTACATTTGTGGTGTGTATTTAAAAGTGAAAGAGGATTAAAATGACAACGTGATACATTCTTTTTGTGCATTGATACCAAGTAACACGTCGCATCTTGCACCGTGGCGTCCTCCTGAACAGCTCCAGAAGATTTTATTCATCAAAAGAAAAAAAAAGAACAAGTGAACAGCAAAACAACGGTAAGTTTTTTACATAATTGATAAAATTATTTAAAATATTCTCTCCAGTGTTTGTTTACAAACCAATTCGTACTTTTTACGATTTATATCGGTTTATTTTGGTTAAAAATAATCAAATGAATATCATCGAGATACTGTAGTAGGCCAACAACAACAGACACCTGTTGGATGAATTGATTCACAGAAAAATGTAGATATCAGAGTTTTATCTGATCGCATTTCAGTTATTAATTAGGTTTTTATCATTATTTTATTATATCTATAAACACTCAGACTTTGCCAAGTTTAGTCCCACTGGTATACATGAGTGATCAACATGTGTTTCAAGCGGAAATTCTTGAAATTCTTGATAATTTAAATTAACTATCGAATAAATATTGCCATAGCAAAATGTGAAAAAATTAATTCATGCTTAGAATATCATGCTGTTAAACAAGCACGACCAATTATTGCTCATTGAGTAATCAACTATGATGATGATGACAGTAAATGAGCGTGACGGTTCTATGTTACTGATGAACACAAAGCATGATCTTTTTGTTTATCATTTGTCATTTATCAAGCAGAAAGTGTTTCAAGACATCACAAAAAATCGTCAACTATGCTTTGTTGGTCATTTATTGACAAAGATTTCGGTGAACAATAGATGTGTTACTCTTCCATTCTCTCTTGTTGCTTTCTTGATAAAGATCTGTGGTCAATACATTATTACAGTTTCAGTCCTAATTTCTTTGAATTTAAACTAACGTAACCATTTTTTTTTTTTTTATTTCATAGGAAAATTGAATCAATATTTTTCGACAATTTCAAGTGATTGTAGAAAAATATTGATAAATAATTGAATATTAAATCATCTCTATTGGAGTTGGGATTAAAAATTAACATAATGATTGCGATAAATAATTGAATAATCATTTATTAGTTTGAATTAACATTTATTTATCGACTGTTTATTAATAAAAAAAAAAAAAAATCACATTAGAGTGTATTCAGTTTATGTTTATAGATATCTAACGATAATGGAGCATTGTATTTAATGAGTAACTAGTAAAATCATTAGAAGTCATGCATTATGAAAACCATAACTTGCTACATTAAAAAATTAAAAGCTCAGTCGTTAATGTTTATTTATTCATTTTCATACTGAATTAACAACAAAAGTCAACAATAGTATTTATTAGTTATTCATTAATTCAGGAAATATTTCATTCCATAGCTCTAAACAACGACTTTTCAAACAATTATACCATTCATTTTTTATATTGTCTTTATTGCCATTGGAAATTTAATTAATGCTTTCCTTATCATTTCTATTATTCATGTTTGACTCAGTCAAATATTTATAACTTTTTACTCCAAAATCTTCTCTTTTTTTTTCAACTTTCCATTGAACAAAACCAATTAAATTATTAGTAATTATTATTCTAGACTGATAACTCTTTTATTTATACCAGTAGTTAGCTAGAAAAAAAATTAAAAACTTCTTTTATTCAATTTTGATTATTTTTACTGTTACGTTTCATTGATATGTATTTGATTGTATTGGCATCTGATTGTAGTACGATTATTTTTTGATTTCATTAACCAAAAAATATGACTCGAATGCAGAATATGTTGAGTGATTTGACTTTGAGTGATCAGTGAAAAACCAGTCGACTACATCTAATCTATCGTATGGATGATAGAACGAATAGGATAAGTTGTTAGCATACAAGGAGTGAAATGAATAAAGTAAAAGAAATCATACTGACTCGTGTTGGTAGTAGACGCAATAAAATGAATAAAGGGAGGAAGGAAGAACTCCCTGTGGAAAGAAGTAGCAGGTAATACTGGTCGGTGTACGACCTTGAAAGTGCGAGTCGAACCGCCTGGTTCATCAACAGTGTTCTCAACTTGTTTTGAATTGTAATCCATCTTGATTTTATACTTTTTTTTTTCATTTGTTCGTTAAAAGAACCTCTGGGTTTGTTCGGCCAAGTGGAAAGGTCCGTCCTCTTATTTGTCAAGCCCATGGAACTACACTTATGTTTATTGAACCAATGTTTATTATTATTATTATTACATTCTTCAGCAACATGTACTTACTAATTGTACTATTTTTCTTCCACTGACACTTTCATAACATTTCAATGTTGCTAACTTATTATTTGGTTTTTTTTTTCTGTGTGTATATAATTAATGGTATGACGTTTCTATTTTGGAGGTGAAGAAATAAATAATTATGTTATTTTATATCTTTAATCTATGATATTTTCGAGGTGTTATTTTATAATTATTGACGTTTGTCAAATTATAATTACCTTCATCACGAATATAAATGTAAATTCATATTTTCTATTACAATTTTTTTTTTTTATTTATAATTAAAATGTTTTTTTTGCTATATATTATTATAGTTCTGTTAGATGAGCATTTATTTATGATTATATATATTTAATAAATTACTTGAGAAAGTTTTTTGAATTCAATACAACGTTGTAATTAATACAACAATTCACTTATTAACTCAATGACTTTTTACCGTTTTCTTCTTATCTGTTTTTATTATTATTATTGCATTCTTCATTAATCAATAAATGCAATTGTTATACAATTTTCTTTCTTCATTCATGTTAATAATATTTTATTATGATGAATTCATCTGCTAATATTGCATATAATTTGTTGATCTTATTTCAAATGAGCAATCATTCTGTGAAATGAAATGTGTAGCAAGCAAATATCTGTTTAAATTTTCAATTTAATTTTTTTCTTTTAAATTGATTATATATTTTAAAAATGTCATCCTTTTAATGAATTTTTATACGAATTTTAATCTAAATGATTGCATGCACACAAATATAATTTCATACAGAAGATCACTGCTCTCTATATTTGTTGCAATTCTTCTGAGAAATGCTTTGAAATTCGTGGAGACTCTTGACTCATCATCTCCATTAAGTTGAACGATTTAAATAAAAAGATTTAAAAATGCAACAGTGAGTCAGGCAGTAGTAGAGTTGAATGCAGTCGATGAATCTTCAGAGAAAGGTAAATGATCCTTTGATGGGCCGGATACAATCATTATATTATTACTTTGAAGACAATAAGTTACGCAATTGTAATATCTACCATACTTATATTTCTGTTTTCTCCTAATTCTTGGAATCTACATGGCACATTCCTTTCTTTGTATCGTCAAATAGCTGAGAGTTTGATTCAGCAGCGTGTGTTTATATTTATTTCTATCATTCGAGTAGGAAAGCCTATTAAATGTTATCAACACACTTTCTTCGATTTTCACTCTTCCGGGGAAATTAATATAAACATAAATAAGAATCTTTTTGTTTGAATTAAACCTGGAACCATTTAATAATGATTTCGAAATATATCTAATGCTAATTTGAAATAAATTTTATTTTTATTAGTTTAAAAATTAATTATAAATAAATAGAATAATTTTTTATTTATAACAAAGAGTTTTATTTATTAGGGTAAATATATTGAATTAATTAAAAATATTTTTTATTTAATTGTTGATGAATAAATGAATAATATTGTTAATTAAGAAGGATCGTATTGGTTTTATTATTGCAATAAAAATCGTTTTTTTTTATTATTATTAAAAATAGTATGACTAAATAATTTAAAAATAGAAATCAGTTAATGATCTGTGCTAAATTTAATAAATTAAATAAAAGTGCCCACACAATGAAATGCATAATAATTGTATTATCTTATAAATAGATTCATTTGAATAATTCTTTCATTTATTAACTTCAATAAATATCTATTTATTTTTTATGATAAAAATTGGAGAATAATATTTAAAAAAAAAGACCATAATGAATTTAAATATTTTCAATATTTGTAGTTTCGTATTTCCATCAAGAAAAAAAATAAATAAACCAATTTAACTTGAATTCAAATTGAACTTGAAATTACTTGCAATTTAAACTCACTTGTTCACTTTAGCATAATATTCATCAGGCATGGTATCATGAGAAAAAATTTCTTTGTTATGTCGAAAGCTAGATTACAATTCAAAGAGAAACTATATTTCATTGTCTTTGAATGAGTTTGAATGAATTTAGAAAAAAATAAAAACAAAAGAACTTGGTGAGTTTAAAAATAGATTATATTTATTTTTAGTCATGTAAAAAAAATTGTAATATCTAACTTATAGATAATTATATGTTTAGTTACTGATGCAGGTAACAATTAGAGATATTTATATTTATATAAAATACAGTATGTTAAACCTATTTGTGTAGAATAGTTTAAATGATTAGTACTGAAGAAAATTATAGTGTCTATAAATAAGTATTAAGACATTTTTGATGAATACTTTTTATCACTAATTAATTTTCTTGAGCTACTTATTGGTTTTTTTCTCTAATTTCTCTCAGTATTTTTTAAAATATTTTATTAACAAGCCTTTTTAAATCTTTATTTCCTCTGAATTCGAGAAAAATAATATGATTAAAATAATTTACATAAATAATTTAGATGTTAGAGTAAATTTAATCACTATAATAAAATTTATCTCTTGATATTTTAGGTCTTTTAAAAACTTTAAGACTAGTATTCATTCATTTTTCATATTTAACTTCCATGTTTTTATCATAAAAATTATTATAATTTATGCAAAACTATTTGAATAAATATTAATAACAAAATAATCAGTAAATTTGCCTATTTCCGACCACCTAAACATTTAAATTATTGACTCATAAAATAATCACAAGGCCAAATTATAAATAAATTGCTCTGATAAATAATTAATTAATTATACAATATAACTGAATAATTTTGGGGATAAATTAAAATAGATATTTGTGTTTTTATAATTGAAAAAAAATTCATAATATTTTAACAAGAATATGTATCAGTTATTTTATTGGAAATGATAAATTAACAACCCAATGAGAGTTTGGTTTGAAATTTTGATACTTTTTTGTAGCCAATAATAAAAAGTGCTCGAGGCTGTGAAACACCAAATATTATGTGAATAAAAATCA